TCCCTGTAAGCCTGTAACTAGTTTCTGGCAACAGTGCTGACTGATCAGGAGCACCACAAAGGAGTTACATGCCAGACAAGAGGAACAGGAGAAACACTAGGGCAGGAATTACAAATGGAAGGAAATGTTGTATTTCAAACAGACACTAGACAGCAACCTGCCAGTACTGCAGCCCTCAAGGGTCAGTCCTACAGAGAATGAGGACATCTAAAGAAAACCCAAGGCAAAACTGTCTCTCTGTTATCTGAGAACATCCACAATGCTGCCGACAGTAGTCCTGTGCAGAAATAATGTACACCTGTGAAAAAACACAAAGAGTCGGCAAATACAGATAGCAGGTTCACTTGCTGGCTCGGACAGCATCTGAAGAAAGAACTATTTAAAAACACAAGAGGTGGTGTTATAATGAGGAAACCATGGAGAGCAGAAAGCTTATGATTATTGACAGAAGTTGATTAAGAAATGGATTATTGTCTGTTAGGATGTTGGAATATCTACTGCTACCATTATCCTACGTATCTTTATGTAAATTTCCTTTAATTGAGGTATTCATTTACAATCATTATTTTCATTGGTAATGTGCTTTATTTGCATTTGAAAGCAAAAAGAGGAAAAAAATTAAACACAACTGGCTGACCCCTACCATGTGAGAAAGGGTTTGCTTTTTGTCACTCTGACCCAAATGGATTAGGGCCAGGAAATAAAGGTCAAGCTCTTACCAGTACCCCCATGTGTCACATTTTTATTACATGGAGTTTCCAAGAAAAATATTCCAATTTGCGTCAGTAATTATTCGTTCTTTATGCATTATCATGTCACTTTCTGAGTTTATTTTGAATTCAGAAATTACCTTTGAGTGCCAGGCCTATTAAAAAGCAACCCTTTGTGAAATACCCTTCAGCAGTTAGTTGTGATAGATTTTGTAGCTGTTTTTTCCCTTTTAAGAATTTCCCCTTCTACAGCAGTCCCCCCATCACTCGAGTCATAAACCACCAAGACCATGGTTGGATTATGCTCCTTTGTGGATGCGCAAGTAAGAAGATGTCTGAGGGCTGTAATTGCTAAGCAGTGCACAGGGCAGGTGGGGCTGGAGCCACTCTCTGTGCTGTTGGACAGCACGAGGTACAAGCATGCAGTGCTGTACCCTGCGTGCTCCTCTAACACTGACCACAGTGAGAAGCGTGACGTCAGGTTTTAGCCACCAGCCACATCAGAGAGCTCTCTGTCCTGTGGGAATCAGTCTGGGGCAGTGCTGCGCCTCTCTAAGAGAGGAGGCAGAAAGGTGAGGGTCCCCTCCAGCCCAGGGCTGCCCAGCCCCACCACACTGCAGTGGGGAGACATCTGGGGGTGCCAGGGGATCCATGGGCACAGCTACAACTCTGGATGCAGGGCTCCAAAGATAAGCTGCTAAAGAAGTTTCTGGTTTCGCAGTTTTAATGATAACTTTTTAATCTGGTCATTATTTTCTTTGATTGCTAATACCTTGACCTCTGGTGACAGCTGCTGCTTATGCCTGCTAAACTTTAATGCAGGCTACAGTAAGGAACATTATGATTATTTGAAAAGGCAGAGTGTAATGCATTTCAGATTAACAGTGAAAGAAAAGCTATTGAAGTTAGAGGTTCACTTTGCCATATCACTCTATGCTGCTTTCCTTATTATCAGTACAAAAAATGAAATGAGAATAGCACATCTTTTAATTTCCTTCTACTATTACCTCTTGATTTGCATTCAGAGCTCCCAGAAGAAATACTGCTGAATTCAGAAGTAGTCTATTTAAGCTGCATGGTGTTTAAAAATTGCTGGAAGAGGTTAAGGTGCTCTATATTATGCAGTTGACCTTACTAAGAAGCTGTGTTAACAATTTAGATTTATAATTTTGTTAATTTTTTTCCCAAGCAAAATTCATTATCTCTTTTTGTACCCCTGAAGGTTAAATCTTTTGATTTCACTCTAACTTATTTTGTAAGATTTTAAAATTATATTTAAACTTCTTGTACTTAAAAGGTTGCTTTGCCAGTGTCTCTGAAAAGAAGCATTTTGTTTCTGTCTCTCTTTGTACCTGTATCTTGTACACGATGTGCCCTCACAATATTTTACCTAGGAAGAAAGAACCCAAACCCTTCATCTGCAGAGTCCTGCAAATACATTTGAATTCTTTTATCTGTCACTATTATATCTTTGCGGCCGACTGGGTGTGAACAAGATGTCCATAGAAAATATTTTTAATTTTGCCTTTACCAAACAGTTGCAGCCTCCTGGTGTAAAGGATTTAAGCTTCCCTGGATTTAACCTTTCTTCCCTGCTTTTGTCAGCACTGGGCCTGGTCATTGAGAAAAAGAAATCCTAACAAAATAACAATAGTGAAATGTGCCAGGGTAGGGAGAGCTGTACCCTGTGATTCTTTAGGCTCTGCAGCCCTAAACAGAGCTTGTGTTTTCTATTGCTACATGAACAAAAAATGGCCAATGGTGGAGCCCTGTAATGCAGAATATTTTCAAAAATGCCCAAGGTGTCACCACCCTGGCTCAGTGGTCCCCAGCAGTGGATATTTATTATGGACACTGCCTCCTGGTCATATCTCATCTGAAAACTCATGCTACAGTTATGACTCCGCCAGTAAATAAAACAGAACCAGGAGCTCTGGGCCCTGAGGCCAAGCAGCAGGGACCAGCCATATCAGCACTGCATGGCCTGTGACCCTCAGGCATACTCATCCTGATTAGGATTTAGAACAGATTTATGTTTGTTCAGCCTGCAGTGCTGCAGTGAGGAGGGGGCTGTGCTGTAGTGTCTGTGCTGTTTATGCGAGTGGGTGTGATGGAGGTGCAGAGCACCTTGGGTCCCACTGGAGGACTGCGGGGGCGGGACAAAGGCAGGACAGACAGCTCTGTGGTTTCCCCTGGACATGGCCTGGCTGCATGATCCCCCATAAGTAATGGCTGGACCCTCTCCTGCAGAGGTAGCTGGCATGGGCCAAAACCAGACCAAGTGGTGCACCTAAACCGGGATGGCCATGAGCAGAGCAGGGCTGGGGATTGCCCAGCGCCCTGCAGCCAGGCCTGCAGACCCACAGGAGAGTCAGCAGCAAGGCGGTGCACTCAGTGAGGCAGGAACAAGCTGTGACTCGCAACTGCGAGCACAGGGTGAAGTCAGGATGGATGTTTTGACATTTCAGTGTTTCTTGGGCTCCTATTCATTCTCCACTCTAGTGCAACAGTCGCTTAGACTTCCTACAGCTAGAGCAATATATTGGCAGCTGCCTTCCTGTTGTAAAGTCAACACAGGGAGCAAGGGAAGCCTGGGACAGGTCCTAGAGCCAGAAGGTAGTTTTATTCATCTAATCTCTAGGTATTTAGACAGTGATTAGAACCATAGCAACTATCTGAGCCACTTGAATTAGTTAGATACAGAGATAGCAACACTTGTTATTTATACAGCACCCTTTATTGGAAAATTAAAAAATGTCAGATACCTGTTTCATTGAGTAGGTAAACTGCATTCATTTGTTGACATGGAGGTGCCATGAAACCTCTCTTTGTATCACTGGGATACAACTACACGATAGAGACTACTGGCAACAAATAAGTAAAACAGTTAGAAGTTCTAAGGAAAAAAAAGAAAAATAAACCAAGGGGATAAAAACATACTAAACAGATGAAGAATTAGTCTATACACAGAGCCAAGCCAAAACTTGGCAGCTTTATAAACCAGCTAACATAGAAATAAATGAAAGTCCAAACAATAGGAACAAACCTGGAACAAATAAAATCATGAACTCAGAAATGTTACCAATTGATTGCAAAGATAAAAATGCCTGCTGAATTCATTGTGTCCCTGTAGTTTATTCTACTGCATACTTTGCTTCTGGGAAGATTCTGCATTCTGAAAAAGCCATATGAAGTATATTCATCAAACAGCAGAAATGGAAATAAATATTTCTCACTTGAAATGACAAGACACAAATTTGTCTCTGTATTATTAGCTGGTTTTCCTCTGAATCATCTTGAACTTCTAGTCAGACAGCAAAGTTAAAATAAATTATTTCATCATGCTGCAGAATATTTCTTAACTGTGTAATTCTTTCCTTTGCAGAATGCAGGTACCAAGCAGATTGTGGTACTGTGTCAGCATTTACTCAGTGACTCTCAACTTTTTCAGAATTTATGTTTTGACTAAAAGAATGTAATTATTTTTATAGATTAAAAAATCTGTATGTGTATACTGATTCCACACAGTCCTGCTCAATGCCAAAAATAATATGCGCTGCATCCAAAGCAAAATGTAGACTATATCAATGAGGTCATCTCTGAAGCTTAATTATGAGATAATAGTTGCAACTTCTAATTTCAGGCTTAATAATTTTTATGACATCCAGCTTCACAGCACAGAACCAGTGTGAATGCAATAGGAAAGACTTTTACCATTAGAACATCGTCATTCCCTTGGCATGCACTTGGCTGCCATCTGGGCTTGCCCAGCAGCAGTACAGCCATCCCCAGGAGCATTCAGGAGGGGAAAGGGCACATGCCAGACCCCCCTCCCCCTGCAGGCCCTGAGAGACCTCCCCATGGGCATCGAACCCAGAGGTCTCTCAAGTGCCCTGTTAGCCAAGGTCTAGAGTTTGCCAACCTGAGGTAAAATCCTGCCCGAGATAAGATAACGTGTAGTGCTTACATTAGTGACTGAGAAGGACAAATTAGTTAGATAGCTAAAATTTAGAATATATCCCTTCTTTATTTAAACCCTTCCAATTTAAATGTTTTCTCCTGAGAAACAAATGAGCCAACGAGGCGGCGGTGTTGCGTCACTGCCTGACCGTCATCCCCGTGGCAGGGATGGATCTGACTGGCTTTAATCTCATCGTCCATCTCAGCGCACGAAGGCCAGCTGTGGGTTTGAGGCCCAGCAAATGACAAGCCAAGTTTGATATATCAGCCAATTAGCAGCATTGGTATTTATGCAGGAATGAAGCTGAAAGTGCAAATAAGGCCAGTGACTAAACCTTTCCAGCAATTACATTTAATAAGGTACTGCATGTTATTTACAGAAAAGATAGATCACACAACTTCTACATGTAAATGCACAGAGTGTGAAGACAAAAGCTGTACTCTCATTACATGCTAAACAAAATAAATAAACCAGAATTATTTTGGCACAATAACTATTACATAAATAAATATTCTAGAACATAATGAATTGACATTTATTTACAGTCTATTGAAAGTGCAAACAATTGGCTGAAAATTAAGATATTTGTAAATGTGTAAGATCAGAAGATGTGTTAACCAGCCATGATTAATTCTAGCTGAAGTTTAAGGTTGTAATATTTAAGGAAAATATTCTCTTGAAATCCATTTGTGCATATTGTGCTCTTTTTGAACCAGTCCTTTGCTACCTTTAATGCTATTGATTTTGATGACCTTACTTTTAAACTGAATTTTGTAAAAACCTGATTGGTAATTTAAAAAGAAGGAAGTAAAATGTAAACACTGATTAAGCTATTTATCATTCAAATATTTTCAGTCCTGTCAGTTTTCTGGCCACACTGCTTGTAGTAGTAGACAGTATGATTAAGACTAGGAATTTTTCTTAGTATTTGTTGTATTTAAAATGGAAATATTTGTAAGTCTTCTCTGAATGGAACTGTACCTTGGACCGCTCTTGAACCTACATTATTTCATCAGATCCTTACATCCACCTTCTGTTGAGGTCAAGAGCAGCTGAGCAAGCTAAACTGACAATCAGTTTTGGTCCTGACCTGAAGTATAAATCATAAAATACAGGTTCTTAATTAGGGAGAAGAACCCACTACCTACCTTAGAACTGTTGTAAGTTTTTGTGCATTTCCCACTAACTATTCTATCTTTCGCCCTTATTTAAAATCTGTATGAGATATCACTTACTACACCTTAAGATGAATTAACAGTTCACAACATGGCCACCCATACACCTACAGTGCATAAATTCTTCCTCAGCCAAAGTTCTCCAGCAGGCTGGTACATTGTGCGTTGCCTAAGACCTTATGGTATGTTTTTGCTTATTTTTGTAGTGGCAGTGCAGTAGCAGAGAAAGTGAAGTTCTTAACAAGTGACCTTGAGAGGATAAAAGATCGTTTCTCATCATTGCTTCAAATGTTTATGCTCGGCGCGGTTCCAGTCGGTGAGACATCTGTGATAAAGTTCTCTGGTTGTCAATCACATTTAATTGCCGCACGTAGCTCCGAACATCCTGATGGTTTTTATTAGTTAGGGCTGCCTCAGGATCTGGTGAAAGAGAAATGATGTAGGATTGATACACGTAAATGGACAAATGCCTGAACAAAATGCACAACTCCTTACCAGCTGTCACAGGAAAGACTAGATCCTGGCGAGTTAAAAAGGAAATATTTAGAAATTGCTCTCTTGGAAACCTTTTCTCCGTATCTGATGGTCTTTCTGGTTACTACCCCCACAAATTAACTTTTCTTTTGGACATCCTTGGCTACATTTACTAAAATTGATGGCCCTTGGTTACAATTTGACATATCACCTTATCAGTCATTAGCTATACATTATACAGCTAACAAGTACAATTTAAAACTGCTCATTTGCTTTTGAACCAGGAACTTTCACAGATTCAAAATTTTGTAATTGATTTTAGCCTCTTTTCATGTAATATTCTCATTTTAGATATTTGTATCAATGTAGTGCTTAGTGGCTGCCCCATTCAAGCCTCAGAATTCACTACCTGTATACATTTCTTAACCACATTATACCTACTCCAGCAGCAGTTATGGAATACTACTTAGTTAAATTCTAAGTATCTTCAGCCCCATAGGAACAGCTTACAGTGTAATGTGTGTTAGGTAATTTAAATTCAACTAAAAATTATACTGAGACATCTACGTTACATTACACATACACACACAAAACCCAAGGAATTTAGATCCAGTAGATCTATATACTGACATTTTGTTATATCATGTAAAATGAACATCTGCTTCCATTTCTAAGTATGTGCAGGTCTCACTTGTGCTTAATACATCAAAATTAAAGACACAAAGTCAGAAAAACCCAGATTTTAGATGAAAAAAACCATCTTTCTTAATTTCTACTGTTCTACATTAATTTGTACAGATCTTCTACAGTTAAGCTTTGACTCATATGGAAAGAAACTATTTTTATAAAAATATAGTTTTATATTACTTATTCTGTTGTTCGAGAAGGAGGAAGGGTACTGTGAGTCAAAATGGATGAAGTGCTGAGGAAATGCCCATGTGACTGAGACTGACAGTGGAGCTCGATGGGATGAGACCCACAGAGAAGCCTGTTTGACCATACAGCTCTGTCATCTTAAATGGCCTCAAGGAAGTTCTGGTAATTATACTGACAAACAGGTTTTAAATTCACCGCCTTATGCAGTTATGTCATTTACAAAGGTCATGTCTCCAGACTGGTTTCATATTAAAACAGCATTTATCCAAGCAACTATTTGTGTGCTGGTGCCTGCTAGACTTATTTCAACCACTTCTGAATCCCGTGTCTAATTTCAGCTGGTTCTAATATGACAGATGGGTAGAGACCTTGCAGATATTTAGCTCTTTCACATGCATGGAAAAGAGATAGAGGAGAAGGGGTTTATTAGAGCTTCCTGAAGGATATTTCACCCTGTGAAACATCACAGGATCCAAACATGGAAGAATCACTGGAAAGCAGGCTCTTCAGTTCTGGTACACACAGAATTAGTTGTAATTACTGTAGCTACTGATGATAATGCTGACAGTACAGATGTTGTAACACACTTACTGAAAGATTGGCTTCGGCAGAATTTCACTGTCCTGACAGTGTTGGCAATCATGCGCTGGAAGGAAAAGATGGGATGTAATCAGAGAACAAGCACCGTATTTCATCAGCATTCAAACGAAGCACCTCTGTGCCTGAGTGTGAAGACACATGCCAATAAAAGCAGTCATATGAATGAAAATATAATTTTAATGCTGCTACTTTAATGTATAGGGTGTGATTTGCATTTACACAGGCTTTAAATAAGCATGAGTATAATTTACATGCGCTCAGAGAACTCTTCCCCTTGCTTGAATGCTGTAAAAGGCCCTAAGTAAGAATGAAAATCAGCCCCTTCAATGTGCATTTCTTTGATAACATCTTACCATATTAAAAAGTAAAAGGAATACCATGGAGTATATACACGTTCATTTAAAGACTATCAGCTCCTAACAGCAAGGCCATTTCTAGAATATATTGAGCAATTAAAGAGCTTTCACCTTTTATACAAACTTGAGTTTAAAATGCATTCTCCTGGAAGCTGACAGTGTAAATAAGCACATGAGGGTGATTCCACTGGCAGAATGCTCGTTTCACAGGTGAGAAGGCCACTGTCAGTACTGTGGCCTGCAGCCAAGTTTCATAAACAGAGCTGTTACACAGTGTTACTTTGCACAAGTATATCTCACTCAGCCTGAAAAGTGGATTCACTTTTGGTGGACCCTTCTACTGACAGTTCACCAAAAAAAAAAGCAGAAGTCACTTCAGTCCTTCTTGGCTGTGCTTACTCTTCAGCAAAAAATCCCCCATCATTTCATTCAATTCAGTTTCAATCAATACACTTGCTGTGATAAACCAGATGTTATTTTACAATAGATTTTAAGAAAATAAATTAAGGTTATTCATACAGCAAAACATTAGTTCTGGACTGTAGAAATTTAACTGGTTTCTGTGATTAGCACCACAGAAGTAATATACCCACCAGTATGGGGCAGAATTAGTTGTTCTGTATAATGTCAAATAAACTGAAATTTCAGTAGTTAGTGAAATAGTTTGATTCAATCCCTGTAATAAGGACATTGGTTTCAGTTTCTTTTGTTTAAAAAAAATAGAGGGAGGAAATGCTACTCCCTATCAGACTCTAATGTCTGTGTTCCAACACAGCGACATCTTCTAACACAGCCACTCTCACCAGGCTGCTTCAGACATTATGGAAAATTTGTGTGAGATTAACAAGCTAGTTAGCCATAAGCTCTCACAAAATGGAATTATATATCTCTTACTAGTGAACAAGAAAGCCTGGGGCATATGCTCCTCTAAATTCATTATAATCTTAAATGAAATCACAATTACAATCTTAAATGAAAATGTTACAAATTAACTAAGCTTGTGAAATCTCTCATTCCAGAATGGGAAGCACCAATGTAAGACATTCCTTACACACACAGTGGATAATCTCACACAGTTTAATGTACCATCAAGCATACAAAAATGCGTTGGTTGGTCGGCGTAAGAAACGCTACTGATATACGATGTCCTAAATGTTTGTGGATTACACCTTGTATTAGTAAATGAAACTGATCTAAAATATGTTATTTCTAAAACACACGTTCCCAAAAGATCTAGGGAATCCAGATCTGGATCTGCTATGTTGCTCCTAAAGTTACATGTATCTACATGTATAATTCAAGTAAGTGTAAATTTTATCCTAATGTAATTTTCATACCTCTTCAAGCCACTATTACTATGCAGATTCTCTAGGGCACTTACCTTGCAAACATCCTCACAGGTGCTTAGCATTAAGCATGTGAATAAACTCCACTGACTTCAATGGAACCTCTTAAATAGTCAGGGTAACTGGGCTGGGACAGAACATACTGCACGCAACAGTGTCGGTTTTTCAGTCTAACCCAATCAAATGTAAGTCAAAACAACACAAGCATATGAAAATGACTGTTTCCCACTTCTGCGGCTTCATATTTGGCTCTGTTATGTGATGCTGCTATTTTGGTTTATACCAGTGCAAAAAATACTCATCTACAATAACTGTTCCAAGGAGAGATCATAAAGCTGAACTGCATCAGCCAACACAATGAAGTTTCAAGACTGTCTACCTTCAAAGGAAGCTTTGCTAAGAACATTTCATTTTCAGGAAGATAGCTAGTTTTCCTTGATGTGCTTTCTAGATGGATTGTTAATACACACCCTAATTTTTCATACCCGTAAGTATTTAGGTTGTGAAGCCTCATCTCATAATAATCTTTGGAGTTATTATTATTTAGCTTCATATGTGAAAACTTAGATTTATCCAAAAAAGTGTTCTTTGGGATAATTTTACTCTTTTTTCTCTTGTGGGGAGTTTGTTCTCAAAAAAAGCAGAACATCCAGAATAAATACTGTAATGCAGTACTGTACTGAAAGAAAAAATATGGGTATGTAGTGAAGGTTTTTTAAAAAGTTTTTGCTATTTTCAAATGTGCCGTTATGTGGGCTCTTCTAGGCAAGGAAAAATGGAAGTGGCAATGGATTTGTCTGACTTCTACTTAAAGGCTGAACTGCCTGGCTTCCTTCAGCTGGCTGAAAGACTTCATTTTAAAGGGTTCCTTTGCCTTTTCCTGAGGATGATGTGATTCTATCTGTGCATTCAGAATTATCCTGGCAATGATGAAATACAAACCAATGAGGAACTGAGTGTTAAGGCTGAATAAATGTGGCCCAAAGACAGCATCACAAGTCAATGGGGAGATTCTGAAGCATTATGCATCTTTGAAGAGCTCTTTTCACACTATTTTTTTTCCAAGTGTTGTTCTACTGTCTCATAATGTCTAAGCTCCTAACAGTTCCTTTTTGTAAGGTACAAAGTGAACGGAAAAACAGGTAATGAAACAAAGTGAAATTTCCATTCCCAAATCTCGTAGAAAAGTTAGATTGTCTTCTATTGATGCGAGAAAACTAGAAACATGGACAGAAAAAATGTTCAGATGGAAGTTTAATTGCCTGCTCCTTACAGTTTTTCTTCAAATAGAGGATTACCTCTAGTCAATGCCTGCAAAGATTAACCTCTGTTTACTCACAGTGCTAAGCAAGACCACTATCAAAAAGCTATACAAACCTAAATTTGGATCTTTCTGAAATAGAACCAACTGCATAATATAATAAATAATGGCTACTACCAGCATGCTGTGTATACACAACAATACCCTTTCAAGTTTTACAGTTTGGAATTGTGGCAGCAGGCCAGAACATTATCTTCTAATCCATTCCAAACCAAAGTTGCTAAATATTATAAATATTCATATATGCTATTGAAAACTACTAAGGGCTTTAGTCACACACTTTTTGCATAATCTTTATGTTCCAAAAATTAAAGAATGTTTGCCCCCATTTTTTGCATATGGATAAGAGTGTGAATTCCCTTTTGTTCATCTCCACAAAACCTGAAAACAAATATGCACAAATTCTCTAATCCTCTTTTCTCACCTGAAGGGTGAAGAGGCTCGACAAAAAGAAGTATCAGTGGTTGGGACCATGGCACTATCTTGTGCTGCCATGGCAGGTCAGCACTTCCAGAGCTTTTTCCTGACTTCTGCTCCCTCTACAGGTGTTATTGCTGAGATAATGTGGACAAGGTGCCACAGAAAGTAATCTTTGTTCAGGCTCTCTGATGATGTTATTGCTGAGATAATATGGACAAGGTGCCACAGAAAGTAATCTTTGTTCAGGCTCTCTGATGATTTCAGAAATGGCACTGATAAAGTTCCCAATTAATTGAATCTTCCCTTTGTCTATGAATACAAAATTCTGTACTGGCAGTCAGAGTGCAATTAGGCAGCTGAGGTTTGAAAGAAAAAAATCAGTAAGTGGTCAAGAGTATGAAATATTGCCTGTTCCTACAGAGAGTCATGCTCAGTACTTTCCTCACTTTCCTCTCTCTTCCTTCCCTGCCAAGACCTAATTCTAGGAAAGCAGTTATAATTTTTTTCTAAATATTTAGTCATAAAAGCAGTGTTACTTAAATGGTGTATATTGCCATGTACCTTCCAAACTAAAACTACAGTATTTAAAAAGCTTCAAAAGGTTTGCTCCTCTGTAATAAATATGTCTTCAGTTATTACATAGATGAGTCTTCTGAAGGCTCGTTTACAACTAACGTGTACTATCAAATCACCAGGGGAGAAGAGATGTAGGTGGTTTGGTATCTTGTCATATATGACAAACTAGAATGTACATCTGAGCAGCACCATGGCAGAAACAGCTTCTTGCAGTGAGATAAGTAAAAGACATTCAATACTTCTCTTAAACCATGTCTTGTTTGTTATTGAAGACAAAGCCTTACACTACAATGACCAGTAATTTAGTAATTTAGTAATTTTGCCTACTTATTGAAAAATACATAAATAATATTTTCCAGACTGGATTTTAAGGTTTCATGCAATGTCATGAGTAAAGAGCACAAACACAGTGCAAATACAAAGACTAAGAGCATACCTATTTCTGACATGTTCAGTACTGTTTACCCACAACTTGCACAAACCAAATGGGTCTGTTTACAAACTTCCCTCTTTACCCATAGCTGTGACTTTGCCACATGTGGTTACTCTCTTCCCTGGCTAGGTGTCCCTGTCCTCCCACTCCTCACAGCCTCCTCCAGATAAGGCATCTGTGGGGATCAGAAGATGGGGAAGGGAAAGAAAGAGCAGGCAGTCACAAAGGCAGCAGCAGGTGATGTCCCCATACTACTGCCAATACCACAGTTCTGTCACTCCACCACTGAAAAGATCAATATATAGGAAAGAGTAGCAGGAAAAAATTGACTCAGTCTTTTTCTTTGTTAGCTTGAGTTGCTAAAAAAGACTAGGCTAATGTGGCTCAACACCATCTGTCTGTTTTTCCCTTCTTCCCTAGATAATTTTGTTCAATTTGAAAAAAGAACCCAGAGTTTTCAAACACAAGAAAGCTCCTACCAATTTTCTGTGAAAACAGATGGCTGTGGACAAGAGAAAGATTGTGTAAGTGCCCTCCTGTCTCCTTCAGGAAAAAGGCTGTAGTGCAAGTTCCTATGTTATGACAAAAGCCTATTCACACAGAATTCCCCAGCCATGAAGAAACAACACATGCCCCAGCCACGAGGAGAGATCTGAGCAGAGCTCAAGCAGCCATGAAACACAAATGTTTAGGAAACCAGGCCTTGCTGTTTCTGGCACTCAGGGAGCTCCTGGCTCAGACTCTGCCTGACAGCTTCTGCATGTTTTAGGATGCATCATTTAATATAAATAATAACAGAAACATTGCAAAACAGGGAAGATTTAAAGGAAGCTGTTTCAGTTGAAGAGATGCCACTAGATCAAACTTCTACTTTTGGCTGCCAGTTACAGGAATAAAGTTGTCAGCAGCACATCAGCTGTCGGGATCAGGCTCTGTGGTGAGAATGCAGACGTGATGCCAGAGGCTGTTCTCAGTTTCATCACTGTGCTTACATGGGAGTTGGAGAGACCCACCTCCTCCAGTGGCAAGTGGCACCACCAGTGGCAACTACCCAGATATTTTTATTCGTAAACTTTAGCAAGCATAAAAGTAAACAATCTTCCAAAGAACCAAGATGTTTCAGAAACATCAGTAAGAGTGGCTTCCTACAGCACTCTAAGGAATCTCCATCTGCTTATGACAGAACATCATGCAGCGGAACAAACAGACAGCAACAACAAATGGCAAAACATGATTCCTATGAAAAAATCTGGTTCCTACCTTTCTCCTGAAAATGGCAGAGTAACATCACAAAAACTTGGCCTTATACTTATTTAAAAGAGAGGAGAATTTACCTGAGAGTTATCTGGCTGAGTGGTCTTGTCTTCACAGTTTAATATCTGGCAATTATGTGTGGATATGACAGTTTTAAGCTTAACGCAAGTAGGCGGCAGCGACTGAGGTTTAACAGTAGGCTTTTCTTCTTCGCTTGACCTGATGACACATGCAAAAAGCTAAAAACTGCCAGGTCCACAGTAGGATTTGAACGAATTGTGTGGGTGGAATTTGAATACAGGTTGCTCTGAACAGCTACGGGTTGAGAAAGGCAGTAAAAGCACCTAGAAGCATGCGGAAGAGCTAGAGAAGAACAATAAAGAGACGAAAGATATACTTGCAGTAAGGCCTGGAGAAAAAGCAGAGTGAGCTTTTAGGGGAAATACCAACCAAAGAAAGGCTTAGAATACTAAAAAAGGAGAATGTTTCCATCTCTGGTGAGTTGAGGAACATGAGACAGTACTGATTCCATAAAAAATATGCAACATCAAAAATGCATGAACTGATTCACATTCCTCTCCCAATGAAAACTAACAAAACTCAGATTACTGGTACTACATTCTTGCAGTATAAAACGTTATTTAAAACTTTTCAGTGCTACTAGTAAACTCTTTTTCTGGGGGTAACATTCTTTTGAAGATAAGACAATGTGCAGATTAAGGTAAAGAGAGCAGACCTGCAGAAACTTAGATATAGATCAGTTTAAGCTGCTATAAAATTCACTCTTGGCTTTGGGAGTGCCAAAATGTGGTACAGAGTGGTGCAGAACTATTCTTAAATGACAAGCCTGTGTTGAACTTCTGTCTATGGGAAGTGCTTACAGGAGAGCTCCTCCCTCCTGTAGTGGCTTTCACACAAAATGAGGCATAAAGAGCTTGAAGCGCAGAGCTCTGAGGCCAGTGGATGTACTGGCTCTTCTGGCTCAGGAGGTGTAAACAGGCCAAGTGAGGTGGAGATGATGAAGCCAGCAACAGAACCATGGCCATAGCAATGCAGCTGCCATCCATTCTGGTTTGGAGGGGTTCCAACCAAGTCTGAGATCCCTTTTGTGTTCCCCAAAGTATTTACTATCTATACTGTTGTTTCTATACCTAATTAAAACAGGCAGTGCAGAAAAAAAGTCCTTTTCTGCAGGTAGCATGCTCAAGGCCTTTGGAAGGAGATGGCAACACAGTCTGCATATGCAATTACAGAATGCCATTATTGCAAAGTGAGGTCAGGCCCTCACTCAGGCATTAGCACTGCCATTTACTTACAAAATGTCTCATCTTAGTGAAGGGGTATTTTCAACCAAGGACAGAGGCTGTCCTGGAGCTACAGATTAAAATCTAAGAGAATTCATTCAGAGTGATGATCACTTTCCTGTGAAGTTTTTTAAAGAGCTTAAAGCACTCCTTTTTTCCCCTCTGCAGTTATCAGTGCTCAGAGGGTCAGACAAACGCCTGCACAGTGCAGTGGAAATAACTGGAGTTATGTAACTCCAGTGGAATGGAGTGGTTCTGATTACTGTACTACTAAGAACAAGCACATGTAGGTGCCAGAGGAAATGTGCTCTAGCATGGCTGCTGAACGGCTGAGAGGAAACAGCCTCAAGTTGTGCCAGGGGAGGTTTAGATTGGATATGAGAAAAAACTTCCTTTTGAGGGTGGTCAGGCATTGGAATAGGCTGCCCAGGAAGGTGGTGGAATCACTATGCCTGGAAGTGTTCAAAGAGCATGTGGATGTGGTACTCAGGGACAAAGTTTACTGGGGAACCCAGTGGTGCTGGGCTAAGAGCTGGACTCAGGGATCTTGGAGATCTTTTCCAACCTTAGTGATCCTGTGATTCTACTATTGACTGCCAGAGCAGTCAGTCAGGTTTGGTTTTCCTATGCAGATGCCATAGCTGGGTTTGGCTATGCAGGTTCTCAGATACAGGTGTCATTAACCACACTAATGAGGAACATGATCTTAGCAACCAAGAAAATGTCTTCTCACTGCTGAGAAATTCAAGTTTCAGTTGAGACTTCTGCAATGTAAGGTTGCCTGCCTGCAGTTTTTGACAATGGTGTTTGAAATTATAACAGCTTATGTGCAGGACTTATATCAGATTTGAGCATGCTCTAGCCTTTTATCATTGATTTTCCTTTCCAGTAGGAAAGCAATCAAGCCACAGACATCTCCTTTCATTAGTGAAGGGAAAGAAGAAATATATGTTGTGCAAGTTCTTTGCAATGTTTTTTTCATTCTCCAAGGAGCAATGTAGAACTATCCCAGCCTGAGGCAGTTCAGGCCTGTTTGAAGGAACAGCATTAAAAATCACAGGTTGGTCCCACACTGTTAAAAAGTGTCTCTAACAGCTCTGCTTCCTGTCCCTGATGCTCCCTCTCCTAGGAAATATTTTGGCTGTGCATGCCTCAGTGGGCAGTTTATTCTCCACCTCTGTGAGGTTTTCCAGAAAACCAGAGGCCCCAGGCTCTGTGTACAATGCAGGCTATTTTTGCCAGGTCTTGGTCCCGCCTTCATTCTCCCTAGCCCTGAAAGTCACTGTTGAGAAGTTCACTCTTGAAGAGGTGAATAGGGAAGTATTTTTAAGTTTCCTTTCAAATATGTCATACATACCATTTTCTCGAAGTTTACTAGATTGTCAGTGAATGTCTTGTTTCCCTCATGAGTAAACGTCATGTCTGTATAGAAATAAAAAACACATGAAAACCCATTTCTGAATCATGGCCACACAAAATAGCAGAATGTTTTATCTACCCTTACAAAAATTGTAGCAGCTGTAAAGTAAAAAATTTAGGTTTTAATGTGCAGCATTTCTTAGACTAATAAAGTTGAGGTAGGATATTCAGATGTACAAAAGCAGTTTGTCTTGTCTGTATCATGCTTTTCATAATGGAAAAAGATCATACCTCACACTGAGATTGATTTTTGCTTCTTCTTGCTGCTACTGTTATCCTTCAGATATTTGACAAATAGCTCTCAAGTTAATAATTCTGGTAACATCCAAGCTTACCTTTTATAAGCAGTGGCATGAAAGGAATTATTGGAGGGTCCAATTTAGCTACAGTCAGTCTATAGGCCCTATGGTTTCTTGATGGATCCTTACAAAAAAAGAGAAATCAAATAATTACTAATATGTATTATTATATATATACATTAATTTAGATGTCATGGTATTTATTAAAAACATTATTTTTTTCCTGTGACTTTAAAAGTGCATCTGCAAATTCAGACACCTTTTATCATTCTCCCTGACTGGTTACACAATGAGAATGTAACCACTAAACACAAACATTTTTTCATGCCAAATACCTAGGTTAGATATGATTACAAAAACATTCTTCATAAAAGAAACCACATATTTTTTCCTCCCTCCTTACAGCTGCAGATCCAATTTTTCATATGTTGTAGCAGTAAAATGTATTGCCTGGAAAAATCCAGGTTTAAAAAGGAGCATTTCCCATATGTACTATTGGAAAACAAGTGATAAAGCTTTTCTGAGTTCCCAGATTAACTTTGAGTGGTACATAAGTTCTCTCAGAGTAGGTTCCTAAGAGTATAATTTATTAGTCATACATACTTGTTTTAGCAGCTCTAAAATGGGATCATAAACTTCTTAAAGTCAAACAAGGACATATAAAATGTTCTGAATCAAGGAATTCAAATCAGAAACTGAATTATCTCAGATTGTGCATAGAATAAGGGATCTATTGCTATTCACCATTAAGCTTTCAAACTCTGCATAGATCTTCTTGAACTTGCTTGGGAGTTTCTGTTAATAAAAACAAAAATAGCAAACCTTAATTAAATCAGATCAGTGCAGTAATTTTACTGTAAATGCTAGTTCCTTCTACAACGCCCTAAGTCAGGAAAGTGCTCTTTTTTTGCCAGATATTTCTAACAATGTGCTAATCTAAAATACAACATGTTTCCTAGCAACCAGATTAAAAATAGAGACGGGACCAGCCATGAAACCTGGATCCTGATTTAAACCCTGACTTGAATTTAGTCCTTTGGGATGTTTAGATTCAGATTTTTGTTTGGCTCACATTGCAATCACTGAATTCAGAATGTAATGGGAAATTCACGTGGATGCTTTCAGGACATCCCTGATTATAGCCTATCTGAAAATATAATTTACACCCAGCTTTCATAGGGGCTGATCAGTTTAATTATTCATACCTATGATGAACTGCCCTTGCAAACATTCATATTCAGGCCTGGGCATTTCCAGGAGGTTTTTTTTGCTCATGCTGATGCATTTATTAGTAAAATTTTTGACATGCTCAGCAGCAAAGGTCCTCCATCACTTTCTGGGGTACAAATTAATGAATATTTTTTCAGTCCACAATACCTACACAAATAAATAATGGTCACTTGATCATGCAATGATTGAGATGAGATGGACTTTACTAAATACTTTCTTTCCCCCTCATGCATAGTATGTTACACAGATTAAATAACTTTACTCTAAAGACTATAAGATATGTTATAAATTGGTTTCAAAGATCACTGTAATTTTTTTATGTACCATCAGAACATGTCAGTTATTTTTAGTAAGAAATTTCTCTGTATTTGCTGAGTTTTTCAGACTACTATTAGCAGTGGATAACATTAAAAATTAATAGAGACTTTATAGTGCAGAAATTATTTTTTGCAATACTTTCTACATTTGAAGTGTGTACCCTGGCAAGCTATTTACACTGTGCCACAGCAAGGGCCTAATTTTTAATGATGTGTGTCAACAACTGTGTGCCTAGTTTGCATATGCATGCAGATTAGGTATTTGTGAAGTAAGTGGTATAATTGGACATTTGCACCTGCAAATATCTAATTTCTGCATGCAACTAATGTAAATGCATGAAATATAGAAAAAATCAGGTCTTGGTATGTTTGTCTGTAAGTATTTTCTGTATATATCTGGCTAAAAATCAAATTGCAGAAATTCTCTTGTTAAAGCAACTGCTCTACAGGACCAGAGTGTGGTAACATTTCCATGATCTGAAGCTAATCCTCCACATGTAGAAATGATCTGTGCCCCCCCTACCAGCTCAGACTTAGTGTTGATTTCAGATTGCTGTATGTAGTATATACATTCAATTCCTTCTTCTCTAGTCCTGTACTGTCTCAGCTCTCCCAGCTCCTCTCAGTAGCCACCAATATTGGGTCATTATTTTGAGAACCAGAAAATCTTTGCCTGTAGCACTGATTTGATATGATAAATGTACTTTTGAAAACAGGACTGGTGTACCCTCAGACATGTTAGTCTGATCTCCTGTGTAAGAGCACATTTTTAAAGGTGTTCAAATTTTGCTTTCAGTTGCATCAATAACCACAGTCATGCTAATTATTTTAAATTTCTAATGAACAAAATGTATGCACACTTAAATCTGTAATGCTTTTGATATCCAGTATGTTCTCAGTGGTTACACTGTGCTGGACACTGCACCCTTTTATACCCTCATACAAAAGAGCAAAGCCACAGAAAAAGGTGGAAGCTCTGACAATGAAGATGAAACTGCCAGTAAGCCTGGAAATGCATGTCAGAGAGAAAACCAGAACTGGTCCCACATTTTAACAGGGCAACAGAGTCCCAGTGGAGATCAGAAAATAATATGTATAAACAGAGGATGAATTTAAGAGAATTATCAGTGGAATGATCTCACTGAACCACCAGTAAAGAGAAGGCACACAGAGGATGGGCTGACCTAAGAGGTTAGCTGGCTAGCTTGCCCATCCTGTTGGGCAGTTTAGCTCTGCAATAGGAGCCACTGTTGTCACTCTTGTTAACTCCTGTGAGTGTTCAGCACATCCACGGGTGTACTATACTGCCTTACTAATAAATACTGTCAGCCGTAGCTAAGGCTTATGGTCAGGAGCTGAATTAGTAGCTTTATCAATAATAAAGGCCCAATTCACATTTTTGCAAGCTACAAGCACAAGTCCCCCTCAAGCTTCCTGGAACAGGATTTTAGCAAAGACTTACCTCCCACGTTAATGACAGACGGCTCACAGCAACATTGCTCAGTCCCATAATAATAGCAAAAAAGGAATTCAGATTTTTGTATTCCTTACAGCTGAAACACAAAGGGCCAGGTATTAAGTTGTATATATCAGTGAGAGCAGTACTTATGACAACCTTAAGAGAGCTGAACCCAGGCATCTAGCTTAGAAGTGACTGAATTTAGGCAGCCCTGGCCAGCTTGCCTGCAGATACCTCTTCACCAATGTGCTAGCACTTCACCACACTCTGCAGACTTGTTTCCCTTCCCTCCTAAAATGACCTCCCTTCTTCTGCTTCACTGGGTGCCAGCTTCTGCAAGGAATTCTAGTCTTTCAACCAATTCTCCACCCAGATACACAGTCCTAAAACTGGGCTCAATTCAGTCCCAAGGGATACCAGAAACAGTGCAAACAACTGTTTATAACTTCATTTGCTGCAGAACTTGCTGACAGCTCCTGAACAGCTAATGAATGCTTGAAGCTCTCCTTAGGCAATCTTCAGTGCAGTTTACAGGGCCACTGAGTCTTTTTAAAGGGAGGAGACCAGCTGTCTAGAGATGCCCCATGCAGTGACCTCTCCTGCAGTATAGGATTTCTATTCCTTATAGATTCTGGACTTCTAGTATGTTTCAGGAAAAGATCAGCCATTTGTTACCAGCTTCATTAAAGAGGTCCTGGTCAAAAGGAGCTCCAGGTCCCACTCCACCTCTAATGCACAGAAGGATTTTGCTATCAGTCAGGAAAAACTGGAACATGTAATTGAGTGCTATGGAAGATCCAACATGCCATGTGAAGGAGTAGATACAATCTGATGGCCACAGTCAAAACAACTGTTCAGCTGGGTCGCCATCAGTGGCTCACTGACTCAATAGGAAAGGAAGAGATAAAACAAAGCCTATCAGGAAAAAAACTCACAAAACTGCATCTCACTGGGTTTTTGCAAATAATCTCTTATTTTTCTCAACTAATGTGCCAACAACATCCAATTTCAGCACCTCAATCTCTGCTTCTTCAGCTGCGAGTGGCTTTACTTAGGAGTTGGTATTGAGACTGTTGGGGCTTAACATCTCTGTCAGTGTCATGGCCATGGTTTGAGTGCACCCTCAGGAGGTTTGCTGATGACACTGAGCTGTGTGGTGCAGTTGGCACGCTGGATAGAAGGGATGCCATCCAGAGAGACTTTGACAGGCTTGAGAGCTGGGACTGTGTGAACCTCATGAGATTCAATAAGCCAAGTGTAAAGTCCTGCACCTGAGTTGGAGCAATCCCAAGCACAAACACAGGCTGGCTGAAGAATGGATTGAGAGCAGCAGCCCTGGGGAGAAGAACCTGGGGGTGCTGGTGGACAAGACTCTTACATGAGCTGATAATATGTGCTTGCAGCCTCAAAAGCCAATGATGTCCTGCAGCAAAAGCACCATGGCCAGCAGGCCAAGGGAGGTGGCTCTCCCCTGCTGTTCTTGTGAGGCCCTACCTCTAGAGTTGGGTCCAGCCCTGGAACTCCAACATATGAAGGACATGGATCTGCCGGAGTGAGTGCAAAGGAGGGCACTGATGTGGTGAGACACTGAACAGCCTGCCCAGAGAAGTTGTGGCTGCCCCATTCCTGGAAGGGATCAAGACCAGGTTGGATGGGGCTTTAAGCAACCTGGTCTAGTGGAAGAATGGGCTGTTCCTGCCCATGACAAGGGAGTTGGAACTTGATGATCTTTACAGTCCTTTCCAACCCAAACTATTCTATCATTCTGTGATTTACCAAGAAAACTTTAACAAGATTCAATCTATGATTCTCATATTTTTAATTCATCATTGAAGCTCTTAGCTCCTCTGAGGTATCCTTAGCTTCAGACAAAATTAGTACAATCATCTCATCCTACTGACTTCATAATTGCCACACCATCCTATTCTCTATCATCCACACCATTCTATTCTTTCTGTACTTTCATTTTTCCAGATTTGGATGTATTGAGTGAGTGAGTCTTTGAGATCTCGGCCTCACTTGTGTCTGCACTGTGTGAACACTGAGCATTTGAATAAATGATCTCTCCCATATGCTGGTTTGTCTTTTGGGAGATTGGTGCCCTCTCAGATCTTCCGGCAGAGCTGCTCGCACAAATTCTCCCATATCAGATTAGTGTCGGTGAGCAAGGGTAGAATGGATAAACTCAAATGCTAAAGCTACACCAACTTAATATACTAGTACAGGTCAGGGAGTGCCTCATTAGCGGATCTGAGGGGAGATAAAGATGAAAAGCAGGCAGGATAGGCTGTCAGTGATAACCTCTTCCCTAAGCACAAGTAAATCCATAAAGAGATATCTATCCACAGCCTACGACAGGATTGGGAATAAATTATGGCAGGGTTAAATAATTAGTAACACACAGCACTAGTGCGCAAACAAAGTAGGCAGCTGTAACTGTATCTGCAATATTTAATTTGAATCTATCTTCATATTTAAAAGGAAATGTTTTGCCAAATACCCTGTTAAGGAATACAATTTGACATTTTCCCAGTTAAAATCCACATAGATATATGATGTTCTACCTCAGGTACTCAGTAAATCCTACAGGGACTACTATAAATAGCTCAGTTCCAGATAAAGGACCCCGTGTGTGCGTAAGGCACTAGAAACAATGCTCCATCACTCTACTGCATATAAACTCCATGTAAAATGTCAAAAAGTGGATGCTCTAAAGCACCACAAAGCACCACCTCAGAGCAGAGGTGCCTCTGCCTCACAGAATGGACTGTACCAGGAAAATCTTCTTGTTAGGATGAATAGCAAACACACACATAAACTCTCTGGTCTCCAAAACAAACGTGTATGTGGTTAAAGTCTCTTTGGACTCACACAAGCATATTCATCTTGCCATTTTCTCTACAAACACACAGTTCAGAGATTTCTTACAGGCTCCTTGGGCTTATAACATTTGCACATGTACACAAAGAATGATTTTCAAAAACTGAATGAAAGTGTCTGAGTACACTGATACACAAGAAGGCTGCTAAATAGCCTGTGGATATATCTGCAAAGAGGAAATACACACAAACTGCATTTGCAGACATCCATAAGAGTATGTGCAAGCACATCCCAGAAGGACTTTCTTATACAATTAAAATGGGAAGAACTCACTGTTGGAAATATAGTTAACTTCTCCCCTTTGTTTGAAAGTTTATTCCTACAATAGCTGGAGAAAAGAGATGAACCTGGTAACCTCTACATCCTTTTCCAGCAGATGGTGAGGCAACACTGGCTCCTGGAACTGAAAGCACATGTGCACAGCACTTGGAGCCAGCACTTGGCCTTGTGCTTGCCTGCACAGACTGGGAGCACACATCAAGGGTGCATGGGGTGGCAGACACAAAATGATGTGCCTTCTGCAATGATATCTGCACCTCAAGCCATAGAACTGAAAAAAGCTTCTCAGTAGCAGTTATCTTTGAAAATGAGTACGTGCAAGGCATCTTGTTACCACCAGTCATGCCTAAGATTAATAGTGCAGCACTGAGCTGTTCTCCCTGAACACTTTTCTAATGAGTCTAGTACTTCTAGGTAGGGTAAAGTTCTCATTAGGTCCCAGGGATCTTCACAGGCAAAACTTCCTCAAAGATATTGCTTCAAGGTCTGGGCTTTTTCTCCTCTCTAACTTCGGTGCACTTTGTGTTTGTTTTAGTGCATGTGTAGCAGCTGTTACCATGGCAGCACTGCACAGAGGGCAGCAGCCTGGCAAAACTTCCCAGCGCCTTTCCAGCGGCTGGAATTAAACCTGCCCTCTTGGTTTGTGCAGAGGAAAATCTTGTGCTTTGGATTTCTCTGCTTTTAGGAGACAAAGAGGACCCAGCAGAGCAGACTGCTTTTAGCTGTTTATTTTTAGCATTGTAGTGATACCAGAAACATGGAAGTAAACAGGAGGTTGTCAGGCTGTTGTAAATAGCACAAGATTAAACCCATGACTCGGAGGAATTCACAGGCTAGGGCAGTTTATTAAGGAGATATTTAACTGTAATTTTTAGGATACTTGATTTCAAGTGTTTATGGAAATTATTATTGTATCTTAATGACCACATTTCAACATTTTCTCCTTTCATGCCTGAGATTAGGAAAGACCCCGACGTCTGTGTGGGTGCCACTGCCCTCTCCTGGGCACAGCCCGCCAGGCCGGCAGCTGCTTCCAACTCCTGGCTGTGCAGTGAGATAATGGAATATGTGGTGCATGTATTTTTAGAAACTAAAGAGGTAAATTCTGTCCTCTGTTCTAAATATAAAACTGATCCTGCATGCCCACCATCAGATTTTTTAAATCTTCACCCTTGACTAATGGTAATCCAACTGCAGGGCCCAAAGTAGATCCCAGAAGGAAGCTGGTACTTGCAGAGCAGGGTGTCCTGGAGGAAGGAGACACACTGATCCCCAGTTTTGATGTGAACACAGAGTTCAGCTATGTGCAATTACTAACTGGGAGGAGAGCAGCATCCCAGCAGCAACAGTAATCTCTTCCTTTACACAACTCCATGTAATGATGCAAAAAAAGTTAAAATCTTGGTTTAACTGCAAGCAACAACATCTCTGTTGGCAGACCTGCCTAAAGGCTTCTAGCTACAATGCCCAGAGCTGTAGACAAAAACTACAAACCTCTGCAAACTGTTTTTCAGACATCAATAAATACACCATGAGCTGGAAAGGGAGAGTGTAACAATAATAAAAATCTGTACTTATGCAGGGCATGGATATACCCCTGCTCCCTCTGAAGTCAGTCACTGCTCTGCTCTTGACTCTTCAGGGAGTCAAGGCTGACATCTCTGGCATGAGGGATGCAAACAGTTTAAATCTGGATAGCAATACAGGAAGACAGAAAGAATGCCTGCTATCCAGCCTCAGACCCAGCAGTTAGTAACAAGACAGGACATTCATATTTTGCATTTTAAAAGTATAGGAAAAAAAAAATCACAGAATCACAGAATCCTTGGGGTTGGAGGGGGCCTCTGGAGATCATCCAGTCCTAACTCCCTGCCAAGGCAGGGTCACCTGGACCAGGTGACACAGGAATGTGTCCAGGTGGGTTTTGAACTATGGACAGGGAGACTCAATGAACTCCCTAGGCAGCCTACTCCAGTGCTCTGCCACCGTCAACATGAAGTTACTCCTCGTGCTGAGGTGAAGTTTTAGTTTAAGGGCCTTGCTCCTCATCCTGTCACTGGGCACAGGACAAAGGGCCTGGAACTATTCTCTTGGCACCACCCTTGAAGATATTTGAATGTATGGATGAGATCTCCTCTCAGTCTACTTTTCTCTAGACTAAACAGGCCCTGCTCTTGCGGGCTCTCCTCCTATGAGGGATGCTCCAGACCCCACATCATCTCTGTGGCCTCCACTGTGGCCTCTCCAGTAGCTCCTTGTTTTTCTCGTGCTGAGGAGCCCAGAACTGGGCACAGCATTCCAGATGTGGCCTCACCAGAGCTGAACAGAGTGGGAGGAACACCTCCCTTGACTTGCTGGCCACACTCTTCCTGATGCACCCAAGATCCCACTGGCCCTCCTGGTCCCCACTACTGGCTCATGGTCACCTTGTCATCTACCAACAGTTCCAGTCCCTCTCTGCAGAGCTGCTCCTTAGCAGGTCAGCCCCCAACCTGTATTGCTGCTTGGGGTTACTCTTCCCCAGGTGCAGGACTCTACTGTTTGTATCACCAGCAAAGTTGCTGCAAATCCCAAACAGAATGAAAGTCACATGAGTGTCATCATCTCCATGCTCTCCTTACATCTCTTTACTCTCCCCTCTTGGTTTTCCCAGTCAGGGCAATTCTGAGAATGGTTCTCCTGAGCAGAACCAGAAACATTTCTGTTCTCAGGAAAATTGGGCTCAATTTTGTTAATATTCACTAATTCACATACTAGTATTTGCTAATGTATGGAAGGGTAAATGAAGGAGCCTTCTAATGAACTGAAATATATTTTCTCACAAATCTGATATGTAAACATGGCCCTAAGAGATCACAGATCAAGGAGCAATGGAAGAGTAGCACAAAAAAGAATATGTATTAACAAGGTTCTATACAGCCCTATAAGAAAACAGACAGAATTACCAAATACAGAATGTTTTAACCTCTACTCTGTGTGGCTGTCTGAAAAGAGAAAATAAAACCACATTGATCATACTGAACCTCACTTCCAGTTCCCACATGATTGCATACTTACTGGGCTGCTATCTTAATGTATTTCTTTAACAGCTGAACACGCTTGCTGAGTTGAGAGCAAAGACAAATCTCGGTGACCACCCAGAACTGAATTTCATTGAATCTTCTTAAAAACAAGTCCAGATTTGCCGTGGTCTTTTTAAAATTGTGCCTTCCAAAAGTGTGATAAATCAATTCCAGCTAGGAAAGAGAAAACAGTTTGGAATTCTTTTTGAAGTTGTGTTTCTTCAAGGAAAGAGACTAAGACTGACCAGGTAAGTATCCAGCCTGAATTTGCTCTGCAGTTTAGTTTACATTTATAGCACCACAGATGACAAGGACTCAGGTTACAAATCCAGTATACAATAGCTGAGGCATAGTAAAAGTGTCACTACAGATTATATATAAACAGCTTAATACCTTAAAACAAACAAAAGTAATTCAACAAGCAGCACATGTCCAGAAGTCATCTAACTTTATTTTTCTATTTTGCCTATAAAATTAAGAATGTGTTATACTTTCAAAACTTATAGGTGGCTTTATTGTAGAATTTTTGAAAATCAAGTTTAGAGAAGGTTTTCGAAATAATGCTCAAAGCTACAATGTACAGTTAAAACACTTTTTAATAGATTCTAACCTGCTGAATAGATAGATCCTCATACCTCATGCACACAGTTGAAGAGCTCCCAGTCATAAATTGTCATCTGATGTGCTAAGTCTTTGGAACTCATCAGTTCAAATGTTCCTACTGTACCAGTAGATGGTCCTTCTTGTTCTGGCAATGGTGCCTACAAACAAGAAAATATTATAAAAATATTTTAGACATATGGTTGGTGCTTTCATTCTACAGTATTTCTAACTTTTTTTCAGTGTGACCACTTTCCTAATCAAGTTTGTAATAGTAAAACTGAAATTGCAGTAAAACTGAAATTTGCTTTTAAACACAGGTATTGGGTAATGAGCAAAACCAGTATCCAGTATGCACAGGATAGTCAAGAAAATTCTGAAAGCTCCTCAGAGACACTGCAAGAAAATAAACCAGACTGTTCTCAGTGTGTTATTTTTAACATTGTTCTAAAATTCGAATCCATAATACATGTTGTGCTAACTAAAGCATGTGTGTTTGTTTAGGAGCATAGGTCTTTCCAAAAAACTTTTATGTTTCCTTTTTCACATGCACAAACAACTAGGCCACCAAGGACAAGCCAAATACTTTTACATATTCCTGATTCTAATGATGAGAATTGCTACATCTAGCATGCTTCAGAAATCTGCAGTGATTGCAAGATCTGCTGATCACTTATAAAATAAACCTCATACTTTCTCTTTGACAGTACACAAATTTGATACACAATTTGTCATTGCAAAGTCCTGGCTAGGCCGATTAAAATGATATAAACACAGTCTTATGTGAAAGAACCAAGTACAAACCATTTCTGAAAGGCACTTCCATGCCACCCAGCAAATGAGACGTGATCTATGATTCTGCACACAGGTGAAGTATTAAACAGAGATTTAAAACACGGCTTGAGATCAAGTCAGATGTGAAGCAGTCTGTGGTACGTATCAGGGTGAAGTGTTTGAGCAGCACTGCTAAGACACTGCCAGCCAGCCCCGGCACAGGGAGGGTGGAACACCGCAGAGGCGCCGGGAAGGCGCGGGCCAGCGGCGCTGCTCCGGGAGAGGGCGGCAGAGCTCACACACGAGCATCCCGACCCGGAGCTCACCCCTGGGTCACACACGGGGCGATGGAGCACGAACTGACAACAGGCTGCTTTCCCAGCACAAATTCACTGGGGTCTGCCACACTGACAGACCTTATTTAGATGCTGCAATATAAGAAATGAGCCTACTAAATGAATCCTATTTTGCATAAGAGCAATGTACTAGCAACAGAAATCTCTGACTGGATTAATACATCAAAACACTTTCTCAGTAGCACATAGTGTCTAGGGGTTTTACTGCTGTATGCATTCTTGCTTTGTACTCTAGGGAAAACTTTCCTTTCAATTATCATCGTCATACAATCTAACTAAAAAAACTTAACTAAATCACAAACATTATCACCCTAAAAGCTTCATCTATAATTAAAAAAATAGTAGAGAAGTATTCTCTAAAAAATCCAGAGCAGCCGTTAATATTACAAAAAGCTGCAGATTGCTTTGAATTGGGATTTGCACAAACACAAAATTTCTTTAGTTTATGACAACATATGAAATAAAAGTACAGCAGCTTTGTGTAGAAAATTCTAACTTGTGGAATCTGTGGAAAGAGAACTGCCTACAGATTGAAAGACGTCTTTTTTCCCCCCATTTGGAGATGAACACAACATAGCTGTTACCATAACAAACACATATTTTCCTATGCTAGGAAAGAAGCATTTAGATGCAAACTCACAGCATATTTGAAAACTCGTCTACCCAGAACAATTTTCACATAAGAATTGCCAAATGTAATGTGGATAAATGTTCATGAACAGGAAGAAGCCAGAAACTGGAATGTGAAAGGATTAAACTGGAAGGCAGCTAAGGCTGTAACATTTTTTTATTTGTTTGTACCTCTTTGAAAAAATGCAGCTGATAAGGGGTTGTAATTTGCTATGCAATGCTGAGGACCCTTTTTAAGGTGCTGAATTTACTTCTGTAATTCTTACTGAATTCAGTCTAGTTGATGAAAAGTAGCACATTGCAGCCCTACATCTTAGAGCTCCCTGCAGCACTTTGAGTACTTGATGCATGGTAAACAGCATAGGAAAAAGGTACAGAAAGCCAAGACAATTTGCTGCAAAAGCTATGTGTACATAGACAATGCAGAGCCATAAATAAGTACCCAGCACAGTTTTACTGATGCAACACCCCTGCTTTACAGTAGCATGCCCCATGAGGGTATCTACTTGGCAGGATTAATTAACCTTAAGGGAACACCAGAATTTAATAAGCTGAACAAGAGGTATCTCTGCATGGAACTACATATGCTGGATGTGCATTCCCTGGTTACTAAATTGAAAGCAGCAGCAAAGAATAGATTTTACCATATCCATAAAAGAAATCAGGCATACATACTAAGTGGCTTGTTAAAAGCATACAGGAGGCTGAAACAAGGCTAGGAGTAATAGAGTTCATGCTGACATGACTTGGCAATGACATTTGTTTTTAATGAAATAAAAGGAACAAAAAGTACAGTCAAATCAAACTCTATAAAAGCAGACCCCATGGAGCTTGCTAGAATGACTGTATAAACTGTAAGTACTTATGAGCAATTCCACCTAAGAAAAAAACAGACTTTCTACCATGAATATTTTCTGTGCTTCTACTTAGAATTATCTCAGATTTTGACACAGTATTTTGTGGGGATGAGAAACAGAACAAAATTAAGGAACTTACTGCTGGAATCAAATCTCCAGAATGCTTTAATTGATAACACTTTTCTTAGAAAATAATCTCTATGACTTTGAGGAGATAATTGTGTAACGAAGAATTACTGCATGTCTTGGTAAAAATATTCAGCTCTTCCTAAATGCTCAGTGTGACAGAGAGAATACCAGGATCAAGTTCTGTTATGTGGATCAGATGGATGGATTTCTGGTCTACTTTAGGGAATTAGAACATCAGCTTGTTTTATTTTCAGGGCTCACCCTATTGCAATGTGACAAGCCCTTTACTGTGAATGCTCCCACTAGCTTTTATCTGAAGTGTGGAAATGCAAAGAGGGCCAGGTGTCCAAATAAGCCAAAGCCCTGATGTTCCTGAGCACTGCACACTTACATACCAGAGCATCAAACTGATCCCGAGGGCAGGCAAACAGCCGGCCATTAACGCTCAGAGTGGTGAACACCGAAACATCGTGAGGCTTGAGCACAACCTTTTCTGTAAAAATGAAACAAATTATTACTTATTACAATTACAGCAGGATCAATCTACCAGCTGCACACATCGCACTTCTGGGAACAAATTTTGCCCAGCAATTCAAGTATTCAGGATACAGAATAGAAGACAACAAGATCCTCTTTACTGAAAAAATGTGGTAAACTCAGCCCAAACCAGTCTCCTACAGAACCAGAATCCCAGCCCCAAACTGCACAGACAGGTCAAGAAGCCTGTGCTGCTATCACTAGACACTACCTGCAAAAATTAAGCCTAATTAGGGAGGCCAGTCATTTGTTGCTGAGCTGCAAGCATTTGGAGAGATGTTCTTAAAAGAAATTGCTCTGGAAGGCAGTAACTGCTTAAGGAGGTGATGGCAATGCATTACAACATTTCTAAAGAGCATCACATCACAGGTAAAGAAAAGATAATGAAGTAAATTACAAAACAGTCTCTTCCAGAAGATGTTGGTGGTCAGCAAATCTGACAAAAAATTGCTTCAACTGCAAAAAGTAAAGCTGCCTGGTGTCAGTTCTCAGGAAGTGAGCCGTTTTTGGCAGGCTCCACTGTTTGCAAAAGTGCCTTCCAACACAGCTCTCATTACCTCTGCATGTCTCCATACAGTCATACTCAACCAAAGCACTTGAGCAACATCAGTTCTCCAGCAGAATTCACTTTCCAGTTACTCTTGCATTTCCACAGCATAGAGGGGGGCTTGATCCCTGACCCTCTGCAAACACTAGGTCTGTGCGTTTGGCACTAAGTTGCTCTTCAATGGTTTTCATGGACAGAGCAGCCAAAATGGTAGAGACCACTGCCAGAATGTTGGCCCTGCAGTGTTTTCTGACATTGCTGATTCCCATGTTTAGTATGAATACCTCCTATTTCTGTTGCTAAAAAACTCTTACAACAGCAAAGGAAAATCAGGATAGCTGTGCTCTGTAACATGCAGATTCTCCACTGGTCCTGTCTCCCCTGTGAGCTGCAGTCTGTGCCTGCAGTAGAGGAAGGACTTGCGTCTCATTAGGACTTGTGTAAGAGCTGAACATGTACACGGGTATAAAACCTTGACTGAATTTTGGGGTCTTTTAATCCCTCCAAAAATTCTGCTTCAGCATAACTGAGAAGTGTTTGAGATGATGCAAGTACAGTACCTCCTCCTGAACTCATCTTCACTATGATGAGGCCTTCTCCAGAGCCCAGCTTGTCTGCTACTGCACCGATCACTTCCTTCACAGAAGACGACACTGGCACACGGATAGTGGTGTAGGTTTGGTCTATGCAGTACACCTTGAACAGAACTAAAGAAAAAAACATTGCACAGTTTATTCCACGTGTAAAAACCACTCATTTACCATACAAATTACTCTCACTACAGTAATCACTCCTCACAAAATGAAACAAAGAAACAATAAATCACTACACAGCTGCCCTGTCCTCAGATGCTCTACAATTTCCAGTACAGAAATCTCTGATTTCCCAGAGTTTTGGATTTTGGATTTTCAGTGTTCAGGACAGTGCCTGTCCTGTGAATGAGAAAGGTGCAGCCATGTGAACTGAGCAGTTACTGCTGTCTGGACACACACAAGAGGTAGTATTTCCCTGGCAGCAGGAACTGTTTCCCTCTTTGTAGGCCTAGAAACACCACTATGGACAACAGAAGCTGCGTGACTGGCAGGATGTCTGCTGTTCATATATAGTTAGTTCCAGCTTTAACATGGTTCTTCTAATGGTCTGATTTCTGCCACCAGCTTTCTCAGCTACATGATCTTGAATTTTGTTACCTTGTTTTTACCGCTGCTCATTAGCAAGAGCTATTCTTTAATATCAAACATGTTGAAGAAGCAGCTGTTTTAGGTGAAGTTCCACAAAACAACCATTAAGAGTACCTTATCAGTAACCTGAAAATTACATTCTGATACAGTGATGTAAATTTTACCTTAATCTCTTCAGAGAATCAAACAACACCAATAGGGCAAACCAGCAGATTTTGTTTTTTAGGCTGTGTGCCTAGATTCTTGGATTCTAGATCCATGGTCCATGGCATGATTATCTGCTCCACTCCTACCTTGCAAAAACAGCTGTACATGTTAGCTCATAGGGGAGGCAGAGACTCAAACATGACCTTCAGCTTCCACTCTTTATTGCACTGCTATTCCCTGCAGTAGTGTCTTATTGGTTCTCCCCTGTTTTGTTCATTCCTTATTTTAAAGGTTTTTACATCTTTCTCCAAGGAAGCAGTGTTTGATGGCACAAGTAACTAAGGGAAAAGACCAGGAGCACCTCAAACCAACAACAGAGAATAGTGGGCTAGCAAAAGCAAAGAGAGTTTGTTTCAGGCCAAGCTCTAAAATTCTAGGTAGGTACTTTCATTTATTTTTAAACCTTTTTTTGAGACAAACAAATTTATATAGATGTCATTGACTCAAGAAAACTTAGCAGAGAAGAAACTCACCCTCATCACTGCCCCTGATAGGCTGGCGTTTCTGTGCTCTGTCATCACTTGTGTTGAACAGCTGCAGAAGAACTTTGTGCTGAAAATGAATCGTTCAGATTCACATTAGTGCAAGAATAAACATGTGGTACACAGGAACTACAGTACATCTCTTATCAATAGCAGGAAAAAGAGTAGCAATGCAAAATTTGACAATGTTAAAAGCTATCTCTCAATGCGGTTTTTAATATGTCCATGATTACTAAAGAGAAGATGCTTATGAATTTGCTGTGCTTAAGATTTTATTTGAGAAAATTAACAAATACATTTTCTTACCTTCTTTTGTGGTCCTTTAGGTTCTTCAGAACTATAAAAAGGTAAAGCATAGAATATACAATGAAATATTGCCTGGAAGATTTTGTGTACAAAATCACTTATAGAACATGGACCACTTGTCAAACTAGCATATAAATATAATCTTATTTATATATGAAAGGACTAGATTATACCACAGTTAATTTATGACCAAGGTAAAAAAAATATTATACAAAGTTCATGTAAGCATGAAATAAGCTTCTGTCAATCTCTCAGTAAGGTTATGGTGTTTGCAAGAATGATGAGGAAAAGAGGGCCATAGACATTAATTCAAATAAGCCTGCATGCAAACTTTCAATTTCATATAACTGAGTGTCATTCACAAAGTGGCTTTTTAATAGACATAACGAATAAATTTTCTTCATCAATTTACTGAGAAAAAGGTCAGGGGAAGGAAAGAAGCAAAAACTATGCTTACATTTGCTTTACAATTTTCTCTAGCTCTGGAAGTTGCTCCTTTAGTGCTGCAATCATTCTGGTATCATCTGATACAGATACATAAAATTCCTGTAAATGATACAGAATAGTCTTTAAATAACTGTAGGGGTAAATGAGCAGTACTCAGGAGAGAGGATTATGAGATGACATCTGATAGCTTAATGATTATAAAGAATGATAATCTGCATAGAGGAACACATGCTGGGCCCAACCCTCTATTACTTCTACTTGTTTATCTCCAGCTGATTTAAAGCAAGAGTTATACATGCAGAAGGGAAGCCTGATGAGGCTCCTCAGCTCACTCTGTAACCATCGGCTGCTTGTGTAAAACCTGCATTTTCACATTGTCAAGGAAAAAGACTAAAAAATCCACAAATGATATCCAGCATGATAAGTTTTTTTATTCATTGCTGTTGTAGTCTTTAGGGCTTGATTTGCTCCTGAGTCACTGACTCTAATCCATTGAAGTATTACCCACTTTTAAACCTCCTCCATCCTCTTCCTATTACAGCTGCATAAAACTGTCCCCAAGAAGGATCTCTGTGCTTGCAAGTAGTGATTGTTCTTTAACTTCTGAACTAATGGAAATCTATGTCATCTCCAAAGCTTGAAAAACTTTCCCATGTGGGTTTGTGGGGTGTCTACCACTCTTAAAACCCCTCTCTATTCGAATCCCTCTGCTAAATCTTAGATTCAGTTTTAAGCTCTTTAGGACAAGAACTTTCATTCAGCCAGTAACATATGGCATTCTGTTACATAAACACCATATATAATGAGAATGGCAATCCCAATCATTTAACATGGCATTGGCAGTGCATTCTCATCTTAGCAATCCAAGGATATGGCAGATACCACAAAGAATTTACAAGGGTTCTGAAGACAAAGATCTTAAGTTCCAATAGCTGCAGTACAGCTTTCATTCAAACGAAAAGGACTTTTGGTTCTGTAGAGTGGCAGCCCTCCAGCTCCTTCCTGGCACACCTCAGGCAGGCATAAACAGCCCTCCACTTCAGTCTGCAGGGCCCCTGAACCATCCAGAAGAAAATAGTAGAAAAAGCAAATTCAGCTACTGCTATAACACAAGCTACCCATACAATGTTTGAAAGGGATCTGCAACACTATTTTCAGAGTTCCAGAGGCAGGCAATGGTTCAAACACTGTTGTGGTGCCTTCACTGTCTGCAGCCAAACCTGACAAAACATCATAAACTGAAATAAACTTTGCACTTTGAAATGGACTCTTTCACTTCAGTGATACAATGATTCCTTTATACCTCCAAAAAGGCCATTGCTGCTTCATCTTCTTGCAGTAAATCTCCATATAAAGCAGCCCACTGCAGAACCAGCCGAATGACTCGCCGTTTGTTGTTGAGGGCATAATCCATCTTCTCCTGCTCTGTACCCTGAGAAGGCTGGGCATGATAGGTGCCCCAGTGTCAAGGAAAACATTCAGTGATTGAAAATACCAAGGCCAGTATGAATTCACGAGCAACTGACTTCCAACAAAGCACTTTCAGGGTGCTCAAACATAACTTTCCAAAATACACTTCTAAATTCTGACATCCACTAGCATAAGAATTTGCAAACTTTTCACGTTCATAGTAAAAAGTAAAATGAAAGTGAATTTTCTGAAGAGCACAGGAAGGATCACAGTTTCACCACAGAGATGTTTGCTCTAGGAGAACAGAAGAGAAATGACACTTGGAACAACAAAGAGGATTAACCATGGAGACTGAAGGAGGATATTTCTCCTTGTTCCTCTTTGGAAACACCTGAAGAAAAAGAAAAATGTCACTTTGTGTTCATTAACAATTCCAATTTTCCATTTGTTAGGAAGACTACCAGAATGAACCACCAGTGCTATTCCTTTTGTTTTTACAAGGTATTGTAACTCAAAATGAACTCAGTCCCATTAAGGGAGGGGGACTTTGACATTTACAGCCTAAACTGACTATAGAAACACAGGGTAAAATAATAAATTTTGTAGTAGCCTCATTGTCATGAGGAAATCAGACATTTCCACTATGTCAAATAAAGTGTATTTCAAACACAATACTTTGTGAAAATTATTTTGTGATGAACAACATGAAAAAATGGGAAACATTTCAATGACCTTTTTAAAGACAAAGTGTCAACATTACAAAACTACACAAATAGCTAAAAGGCCAAAAGTAACATTTAGTGAAAGGAAAAAAAACAAGAAAAAAAGTAAAAGCACAATGGGCAATAAATTGAGATAATTTGAGTCTTTGACCTGTGTGAAAATGAAGTATCTCCAGAAGAAACAGGATATGACAATTTGTGTGTCTATTTCTCACTGAAAAAAGGTTAACAATATATATTTCAACTGTTCAAATACACTGAGAGCTGAGTGGAAAGTAAGCACCGAATGAGTGCAGTTACATCTTCAACTTTGCTTCCCAGTTACCAGATTTCTGATTCTGGACTGCCATGAGTAATGCTATTCCAAATTACATAGTAACATGTAACATTAAAATACTGACACTCTCCCTCACAGCCATGTCCAGCATCCTTGCATCCTTCCAAGATGAACTTTCAGTTGCTGTATCAAAATATTTTAAAATACTAATTAGAAAATAAAAATATTAATGAGGAATACAAATTATATAAGGTATTTATTCTAAGCTTCTAATTTAGAAAAAAATCTCTAACAATACTATTAATAAAATGCAATGGGGAAAAGTACCTATTAAATCCCACTTTGAAATGATCCTGCGGCCCAAAGCCCTAGGGTGCTCATTTGACTGACAAACTTTCAGGAATCTGCATTTTAATTTGGAAAGGTTTAAAATTAGCAGAGAACTAAACATGACAGTACAATTAAGGCAGAAAGGCAGAAGGTCATAAGAAGTAAATAATTCATTCTAAGTTATGTGCTCTCCAATATCTTGGGGAGTAAGTTTAATATTCTACACAGTAATTTTTCTCATGCCATATTTACCTTTCAAACACTATAATTATTTAATGTATTTTTACTTTCCTATTAACTGACTCACCACAGGCACTTGTAATTTTTCTATATTTTTACTGCTCATTTACATTGATTTATCTTTTATGAACATTATCACAGGGAAATTCAATGAAAGGTTCTCACATTTTTATGCGATCTTCAGGATGCAGCTTCACTACAGACTGCAATCAGAAATAAACTGTGATGTACACTTGCAACAAGTGTCAGATAATTGCCAAATATTTATCAACACCAATATGGTTAGAGCTCAATATATACATATATTTCTAATTTCCCTAGCATATGCTAAGAAATTGAAGCAATTCTGAAGGCTGTTCTTCCCTGTATAGGAAGACCCAGCTATAGCAGGAGCTGTGCAAGATCATTGCTACAACAGAATGCAAAATTTTTGGTGGCACAATGGTAAAGGAGAAATGTGCTGAAGAACTATCATCTACAGAGAGCAAAAGAGGAGTTTATTCTTTCCAAGTATTTGGACAGTGGTACTTTAAAGGTGCACTCCTGCACACATGCTTACACACAGGCACTAACCCAAGGTCACTTTTGGAGTTGCTGCTCTATTTCAGGTTTTCTTTCAGGCCTTGTCCTGCCTCCATCTGACAAGCTGTAGCTCTGAGAATGTGTCCATTTCTATGCTGTGAAGAAGAGGAGAAAAAGGGGCCTTGATCCAACACACAGGACTTATATCTGATCCAGGACAGGGAAGCTTTGCTTCCCTATAAAACAGAAATTTGGTTTTTTTTTTTCATATTGCAGGATCTATTCTATAATGACTGAAAAAGATGGTGTGCAGAAGGACAGGACAGAATAGGCATGGAATCCACAGCAAGCAGTAATGTTACTTGGACAAAATGGTGCATCTGTCCATTCTGTTCAGGATTAAAATAACTTACAAATGACTGCTGTAAAAGAAGTGAAAACCCAAATAATTTATACTCTGTACTATGCTTGAAAGCACTTCAGTGGTCAAGCTCTACTCATACTTGCATGCTGCCAGCTAAAATAGTATCCTAAGTGGGTGTAGGAAAATAGACTTGTTTTGATTCAAAATTGGGAGCTGAAGTAAAAAGTCACTGACTGAATCAACTTTTCTTCTTTTTCTGTTTTAATTTCCTCATTGAGCATAACTAATCTCTCCTTAGTCTCACAGCACTGGCGAACACTTTTGTAGCATGATTTTGCTCCAAAAAGATGAGCTTTGTTAGGAACCTTTCAACTCTAACAATAAATTTCAATAGTACAATCAACAAAGCACAGTTAGCTTTTCCATATTCAGAATGAACCAAATAAATAATAATTCAGCTCCAGGAAAGCTAACACTAAAGCAGTAGGATACCAGTTACTTCCAGCTCCTCTCTGAAAAGAATTAACACGATGCTTGCCATGACCCACTGAAGACCATGGTCTTAGCATCCTCTCCAGAACAGATTTCATCACAACTATTTATCCTTAAGTGCGATTATCCTTAACTTTGATTACCATAAAAGCTTTTCCCCTCTAAAGAATGAGGGACATTTTACTTATGGGTCTGATTTTCCCAGTTGCTGGATAGAGGTATTCAATTATAACTGTGGAAAGAGAAGCCTAAATCTCAAATGGACTGACTGAATAATACGAGCTAAGTGAATCAGGACAAAAAACCCTAAACATTAAAAGTGTTGTCCTTTTTTCCTCTCTGAATGCTGTCAGCAACAGCATTTCATAATACTTTTGATATCCAAAACAATGTGATTTTGGAAATGTGTTTGTTTCAGGTGTGCGAACAATCTTCTACAGACCAGTTTCATGGGTCCAAAGGTTTTCAAAACAATTACTCTCCTCGCTAGGAGTAACACAAATAGATTCTCAAGCTTGCCAGACGAGGACACAATGCTCTATTTTGTGGTTTCAGGAGGTGAGCTTTCCCAGATGTCACTCGCCCCACTGAGCTTGAAGGAAAGCACTTTCACACCATTGCGATTCAAAACAAATAAATAGGGAGCTGAAGTTATTATACCCCTGTCAAAATTCTATAAAACAGAAAACATTATATGTTTATTTAATGTTCCCAGTCACTTGATAGCTTCAAGTCACTGTGCACAAGGAAAACTCTCTAGGTCCAACAGCTCCTCAAACTAAACAATCTGCCAGTAAGTGACAGATGGACATTTCACAGACTCCTGTGAAACATGCAGAGAGGACAAGAATCATCCTCAGCTCTCAATGCTCTCCACTATTAAGATTTCATCTCCTAATATTCACATCCAATTTAAGTTTCTTACAGTTTGTTTGCATAGGCTATGGACTATTATTACAGATTATTACTACTTTTTCATAACAATTATGACAGTGCCTAGGAACTACTTACCCACTGCAAGTTCAGGCAGCCTCTTGCTAGAGGCAGTTCAGTTTGCAATCTGTACAGTGGACCACTGAAATCACTAAGCCATAACTGTCCCATTTAAAATGTAGATGCTGTAGTTCAGCAAAACCCAAAAAAGACAGGGAGGATACAGGAAGAGTAACCCAAATTTTTATGTAAGTTCACTTGTTTGGTGGAGAGACAGTACATTTATTTCCCTTGGAACAGCAATCAGCACAGGAAATAGAGAGTTTTCATGGTCTGTACTGCATCTCATCATGGGTAATACACTATCCATTTCAGAGTTGTTGAGGTATGCACAGCTGCTGGTCAGACACTGAGAATCTACTCACAAGGCACAGCCTCCATGGGACATGATGTACTTCCTGACAGAGGGAATCTTCACTTTCTTCACTGACAGCTATAATGGCTAAAGCAACTTTTCTCTTAAAAAAGGATATTGTGCCATCAAGGCTGGGCAGAGCTGACTATTTGGCATAAAAACACAGTGCATCATAATAAAATCATTTAAAACAGAATCTGTGAAAAAAAGAGAAATAATATAGTCAATTAGACCTCTGCAAACAGCTAGGGGATTGTCAAGGATGAGATTTCTTTCACGTGAATGATCTTATTAGCCCTCTGCATATAATAAAGTGGTCTTTTTGCACTTTCTTTGTAGGCATTAGATACAAAAAAGGGTAAGGAACAAATATGATCTAAAATATTAATCTTTTAGTCTTGTCTGCATCAATTTTATTGCATTAATTTTATTGTTAACAGGTATTTGCCCGGGGTCAAAGAGAAATCTGGGACAGCAAAAAGCCCCACATCTGTGCTGAAGTGAAATATTTGGATATATTTCTCTACAAGTGTGGAGTTCTATGCAAGGAAGAATTTGGCCTTTCACACCTGGGTACCTAAAAAGAGCTGTAACATTTGGCTTTAGGAGTTACAATACCAGGCAGCACACTTAGCATATCCCACACAGGAAAAGGCAAATAATTTCATTCTTTGCTGATTTCCTAGCACTGAGTAGAATGCCTAAAAGAGGTAAATGGACAGTCAAATTTCTGGGTTTATTTTGATTCAAAGGTACCACAGCTGCTACATTTACATTAAAATGTATATGAACAATATGACTGACATTTTCTCTGGCAAAACCCAGCACAGTATTTTTTCTGCTAAAATGACCTGTGGTAGTGCTGGTGCAAATCCCAGTTTGCCTTATCTTTGTATTTGTTACAACGAGAAGGATTTATAAAGCCTGGCTGCAGAGGCCAGAATGAGTTTGGCAGGCTTATATGGAATCACTGAGAAACAGTGAACACAATACCCCAGGGTATTATTTCTACAGTGCAACTTCTGAGATAACAGAAACATTTACAAACATTGTAAGGAATGGCAGAAGAAATACAAACACAACTGTGCAATATAATATTACGTCATTGCTTCCACTTCCCATATGAAAGCATCTCTCAGTTGACAAAATTCACCTCTGGAAGGGCAGCACTTTTTCAATGTAATACCCAGAGCAAATTGGTTTTTAAATACTCTTAAATTAAAGGAATGCATAAACAAAAAATTCTGTTTTCCAGCATTCTGTGATCCTATATCCTAAAACTAATTTACGAATTGTGACACATTATATTGTATTGGGATATAGGTACAATCTTGTCACTAGATATTTTGACAAAAAACTTTAAAATATTTAAAAAATAATTTGTTTTGAAAAATATATAATGCACGCATACTGCAGATGGCAAACTTGTGATTATATGGCTGCAAGCCTGAAGGAGAATACTCTGCTTGCAATTCTAGTAAACAGGTATGAAAAGGATCCCTTTTATTTCTGTCTTTAAAGTAATGGAAACATACACTTTAAAAGGATTTCTGTAATTTTTCACTAATTCCACCATTTATGCACCACTATAGATGTTTCTCCAATACCGTGAGGTCAATCACAGATTAACTGGATTTAAGAACACTTTTGAATATGTACTTAGCAGACATCTATAGTGCAAAAAGAACTTGCAAAAGCAATGTTACGTAGTTTAATATGTAGGTCTGTGCATTACTTTATGGGAATTATGAGGATTTTTTGTGCCTGATTCTTCAAAAATTAAAGTACTTACTAAATTGTAAGTCTGCAAATATCTATATCCCTAGATGTAAATTCTCTGTTCTCTTTACATTAATGAAAAGCTGCCCACTAAGTGTAGATGCAGCAACCTGCATTCTTGGGACTCAGTTCATGCTGTGCCAAGTTCTCCACTGAGTAACAATTCTTTTTTCCCTGCATATAGGAAAATATCACAAACACAAAATTTAAATTGTGATATTTTAAATGTGATGTGAAGATTTGAGAATACTTATATTAGCACAATGTAATGTCTGGAGGTATCAAGCTATTTCACAGTGACCTCCAGAACAAGGGGTACCATTACTAATGGGGTGCTCTGTCCAGGCCTTATGGCTGTGCCTAATTAAAGTCATAAGTGCTGGTCTGGCACCTTGGAGGATTCTGCTGTTCTACTATGACCTTAAAGGACAAACACAATAGAGCAGGCTTGGAAAAGTGGATTCCTATTTTTAATTCTGGATTTCCTTAACTCTCTTGGGGTTGTTTTAGAGCAGCAGACAGTTCTTCTGAGAAAAACCACCACTACAGGGGCTTTTCAAAGCAGTGTTCCCACAGCAAATCCACCTTATAGGGTAATAGTAACACAGCTTCTGTAGGTACCTGTTGCTTCATTTAAAGTTGCTTCAAGGCGCATAGTTTCTAGAAAGTGCTCTAAAATTTTCTCTGGGGTTCCTGACATCACAATATACCTGAGGGAGGGAAAGGAGCAGTTAGCATCTCACAGCCAAAAGAGCTAATCAAGAAATAATTGTGTACCAGCACGAAGATCAGGACTGCTGTGCTGCTGTGTGCCAAGCTCCTGCTCTGACCAGAATCTCTGTGTGCTTAGGGCTAAACCCCTCACAATCTTTGCTGGCTTCCCCACGTAAACCTTAGCAGTAACATTCTCCACCTTGCCCAGGGATGAGAGACAGCCCCCTCCCCACACAAGTACTTCAGTACAACACCGCCACAATCACACCACTATCAGCAGAGCTGCAATGGTCCAAACTCAGAGAAGTACAAGCAGAAATGCTCCTCCAGTGAGAATACATATCTCAGTAACAACAGCAACTTGCAGTCATAAAAAGGTCTTAACTATGGTCTTAACAGTTTCAGACTCACTATGAGCCTGAAATAAGAACTAGTGTGTATCAGTGTCAGAGCAAGGAAACAATTTCCTTCAGCATCCCTGACACAGGTTGGTCTGGGAAGGTGGGGGCAGATAATGAAATAGCACACCGTATCCTCAAATTTGTGCAATGCCTTGCATAGCTGAAGTATTTCAAGTAGATAAACTGAGAATTGTACCATTTCCTGCAATTAGTTTAGTGAGGTGAGAGAACTAGTGCAACAGCCAGGTTTTTCTGCTTCATGCAAAAACACTGGCAAGATTTTAAGTACCCACAGAATATCATATGATATTGGAAAACTTGTCCTGTCATCTTTTTTTTCTCTTTTCTCATGGATCAGATTTCTTTATATTTCCCTTCATTCTTTCAATCTTTGCTTTTTTTTTCTTTTTTTTTTTTTGGGAATTCAACTGATAAAGTATGAAACTTAAAAAAAATAAAAGAAAAAAAAGAAAGAAAAAAACCCTGAGAAGTGAAGATACTCTGCTCCTGCTGAGAAATAAGTGGTGGAGCTGAGCTCCTGGGAGCTCCTCCTCACTTTGAGCACTGACCGTCACAGTTCTTTTACCTGCCAACCTCTTTGGAAGAACTGTATTGATGTCCCAAGAACACAAACACTTGTTAAGCCAGTGCACATTCTCACAGAGATACTAACCAAGTATCTAAGTGAGTGAAGCAGAGAAATCACAGGTTGCTGTACTCTGAATATGAAAGTGGAAATGAACAGTGAAGTGACTTGCAGGGCTGCTGAATTCATGCTGCATGAGTGTGATCACCCATAAAGAGTTAGATAAGTGATAACTTCAGAGCCAGTCCTCCCAAGTGAAACTTGCACTGAGCGAAAGCTCAGCTCAGGGAGCTGGGTAGGAGCTCTGTCTCCTCTGTAGAGAAGGCAGTGGAATCCAAACTGTAACCAAAGGAACTGCTCCCAAAATGAAGATTCTCCCAAGGCCAAGATGAGAAAATTAGTTCTTTCCTGAGAAGAGGTGCCTGATAAGCTCCTCTTTTGAGCAGTCATTTTCAAAAGTACTGAACACTCCAATAAAACATTCCAGTAACACTTGATTTCTGGAAATCAAGAAACTGGTAATTTTGGTTTAGTGTCTCAAACATAAATGTAGCCACTTACTCTATTTCCTAAGGGAAGAAACATTGTCCTCAGACCCAGTGAACTCACTTTGAAGACTTTAAACATAAAGACACTGCCAACAAAGTATTATCAAAGAATCCAACTGGTGAAAAGCAGACAGTGAACCTTCAGGGTAACGTCGCTTTTGGGTAACTTATGTCTACTGGTCATACTTATGAGCAAAAGCTCCCTTGCTGGCACATTTATAGTACCCAAAACCTGACCAAATGAGTAAAATATTTACAGAAATGAAATTCTGAACTTTACCTGAAAATATTCCTGGTATGTAAGGCCTAACTTACCCATAAATATCTCTGGCTATTTTTATCAAATTCTGAAAAAGAAAATGTTAAATAATACAAGTAACACTGGTGCAAAGAGTTTGAAAGGAAGGCAGTGTTTCAAAATGTTCAAATGGAACTTTCACTTTTGGAAGCATGAAAAATGTGTCAGACCCAACAAAAAGAATTTAAACCTATGACCAAGTTGCTGTGCATTGCAGTTGCTGATGCCAATCCACTGGCTATGGTCAAGTTCCCCTCATTTGGGCAAAGAAAAACTTCTGTAAGAGTACACAGTTACCTGGTAGCATAGATTGTTTTTCTGGATGTTTTAATAAATCAAGTGAATAGAAAATAGAAAAAATAGAAGTTCCTGAAAAATGTGAAATGTGTATATAAAATGCAAGGAATGGCTCATGCAACCTTCACAGATCTTTATAAATCTTTGCATTCAGTCATGAGGTTAAAATAAGTATACAAAATCCCAGATGAGAAAAAAACTGTACCCAAAGTATTGCACAATAAATTGGCTCTTTTTTAAGAGAAAGTGAGGTTTGGGGTAAAGGATTCAAAACTTGTTGAAATTGTTTGAATGCTTCAGAAGAAAATTGTGTATCCATTTGCAAACACATTTACAAAGCCTTTAGGGGTTTTACCAAGGTTCAGAATGATAATAGCCTCACTCTACTCTTATCACAGTGGTATCCAAACAGAATTGTACTTTTTCCCTTTCAGTAAGAAAGGAAAATATAGTTAATATTGTTATTACAGTGGTAAACTATTCTGTAAGATAAGCTCCGCAACTTTCGTTGCATGAGATCTTTGTACTGTATATAAATTGTGCATAGCAAACTCTTCTTAGCATCTAGAGCTCAAAATACAAAATAAAGATACCTGTACTTTACAATAAAACAATGTATTTTCCTCCCATCTCTTACACAGTAACTCAGATTAAGAGGGTTTCATCAATCTCCATGCTTAGTCTATTTAGAAGCTGTTTCTTGTGGTAAGTATTTACACTGAGATCTTCAGGGAATTACTGTGCAAAGACACAGAGCTGGTGTGCTACTAGAAATGGATATATTACTGATTATGGGACATGTGCTGATGACTAAAAAAAGAAAACCTTTATATGCACTGCAGTCTTCCACTGAAAGGGAATATGCTATTCTTTGGATAATAGTACCATTTAAAAAGGTTAGTAATTGTCTGACATTTGCACTACTGAATGAAAACATACTTGTGCTGCGGCTGTGAATTTCCTTGATTAGAAATTCTGTTTCCTGCTGGGATCTTCTCCAACACCAAGACATCTTGGTCATGTTCTTTGAGTCTTACTGTATTTGCTTCCACATCCTGCAAGACAAGTTATTTTTAATAAATTTGACTGTACTTGATTTGCCTGATTAGTTACTCTTAACAAACTGCATGACTTTCAAACACAAAATACTTGTGTTGGTTCTTTCCCTCTGTATTTATCTGTCTTTATTCTGTTTTTCTCACAGGCAGAATTAAGAAGGAAGCACTGGCACCGAGGCAAGAAACAGAGAACTGTGGGAGAGATTAGAGCAAGAACTATATTAAAAATTTCCATTTTACAGAGATGTCAAAATTAAAAAAAAAAGTTTGCTGGAAAACAGCCTCTCCCCAACTTGCTGTATATAATGTTGTCTCTACCCCACTTATATGCAAATACTATTTTCTACAATCAGACTTTTCTCTAAAATAAAATAATAATAAAAAGAAGAAATTAGCATTTAAGAATAGAAAGTCTTAGCTCAGTAAATTGTTCATTTTCTAGTACCAACTCACTCAGAGTAGAAAAAGAAAAAAGTTAAGTATAATGTGCATTCAAAAAACACAGGTAAAAATTAGTAAGACCATGGACTTGGATCTTCTTTGAATTATAGACCAAAGCTTAATCAGTTTTAAGTCTCCACAGCCAACCCAGCCTTACTCCCAAAGGGATTCTCATTCCCTTTTGTACAGCAACCACAAGTCATTTTTATAGTGGAATACCCTTTCTGGACTGGTTTTATTGCTGCAATACTGGGCATATACAGGGTAAAATACAGGACAATGCTAGTTTTGACTTCCTGTACTATGAACGACCACAAAATAGCCTGAATTTACAGAATTACAGTTGGACGTGGGAACACATTTACTCCAAAATGAATAACTGTCAAATTAGTCTGGGAATATCTTTCTAGAGTTCTCTGATAAAGGCATCTGTAACTTCTGCCATTTGCCACTTGATTCTGCCCTGGAACTCTTGAATTTAATGTATCTGACACTGACCTATGTGGGAGAAGGGGTGATCTTGTTTTTTTTTTATATTTGGACAGAATATCACTAAGAAATCCTGAACAGCATGAGGAAAAGCTGGGCAGGGCAAATGCTAGATTATAGAATGTGAGAGACAAGATTCCATTTGGTCGTATTTTCATGTCTGAGCTGGGAGCTGAGAGAGGAAAGGTGATGAACATATTCTTTATGTGACCTTTTAGACTGTCTCATCTCTGTTCCACGATTAGGCGCACTACAAACAAGGCCATCAATATTAATATATTCATAGAAATGATAGCCTCTAGAAAAACTTGCAAGTTCTGATATGACACTGAGGGCTGCCCTCCCACTCTTACCCTAAGGATCCTGTTGAAGTCCTCCTTATCTACTCTCAGGAAGTGGCAGTTGTCTTCCCGCAGAACAATGGATGCTGCTCTGGGAGCATCATTCACAAGTGCTAACTTGCCAAAATCATCTCCTTCGTGTAGAGTACATACCACACCCTGCACAGAGCAAAACATTTACATGCAGAAACCCATCATTACTCTGGATTCTATTGAAAGTCCTTGTACAAACACTGGACTTCACAATCAAACACCAAAATAAATCTATTTGGCAGGAAATCAACAGCCAAAATAATGACTAGGAAACAATACTTGATAGCTGGTTATTACTATTACTAAAGAGAGGCAAGAACAGAAAAGAATCAGCTTGTTCCCTGAAATTGCATTCAGCTTGAAGGACTTGTCTCTTCTCAGCCTGCTGAAGACAGAAAGCTGTTGACTATTCTGTTTTTTATTTATAGAGGCCCTAAAAAATAAAATCAAGTTTGCAGAATTAACATAGAGCATATCTCCAGCTGTTGTACATCAGCAGTGCTCTGTTTCCTCCAATTCACAGTAAGAGAGGATCTGGCCCACCCAGTGATGTAAAAAACATGGCTAAATATGTGTTACTGAGGAACAGACTTAACACTAGGGCCCTTGTGCTAGATTTTGGTGAAATGCTTTGTTTTCAAATGGAGAATTCTCAGTCACTGAATGAGAAATCAGTGAGGAGTGGGGTTTAAGATTCAAGGGATTCCTGTGTACCAATATCCTTTTAGCTTTGAAAAATCTCTCACATAAACAGGAAATTTCATAAAGATGCTTTTTGGTCTACGGCTTAAGTAAAATGAATAGCTGGCATAAATCTGGAAGAGCTTCAACCAACCTGAGAACCACCAGTCACAAAGCAGTACTTTTGTCTGACATGCATGAGAAGAGTTAGTCATCCAAATGCACAACAACACGGTGGTAAAGGGATGGGGCAAAACCCCCATGAGAGAGAAGTCTGGCAATCCACCAAATTCCAGCAAATTACTTTGTCCTAAAGATACTGATGTAACTCTGATGGATTAGTCAGAAACTGAGTAATATATCCCAAAATTATAGAGCAATCTACTGGAAGTATAATCAGTAAAACCACTGGATCATTTCTTAATAAAATTACAATCTATTTGTTTTGTCAGACAAAGCAATTTCACTCTAAATTAAACTGTATTCCTTCAAAGTTTACTCTTACAATTTCAATAATAACAATCATACAAAATAGCTTCTGAAAAAAATACCTTGCCATAAATGACTACGTTTACTGATCCCTTTAGGATAATGTACCAAGAAGTACCTTCTTCTCCCTGATTAAATACTACAAGAGAGAAAAGATTTTATGGTTAGAATATAATTATTCAAAATATAAATGGGCCAGATTCTTCACCCAATAAAATTCAAGGTAACTCTACAGTCATATAAATGTCTACCTTATAAAAGGGCATACTATGATTTTAAAAGCAATTGCCTTCAGAATTTAGAAAAACAATTCATACCCATATAGTTATGTTATAACACTAATGTGAAAGTTGCTTTTCTTTTCTATGACAGCTCCAATAACTACTTTATCAATATGTCAGGTAATCAATTACTATTAGCACACAGGTTGGATCCCACTAGTAGCACCATGTTCTAACCCAGTTCTCTAGTGACTGTAAAGTTAATATTCATTTGCTAAAATGTCTCCGTATTAACATGCCTGAGTAATCTACCATTTTAAATCCTTTGTTTTGTGAAGGAAGATTTTTTTTAAATACAGGATTATTTAAAATACATTTTAAATAGAGATTGGTCAAATAAAAAATTCTAGATAAAAACACACCCAAATTGTAAGCGATACATACACTCAGCCAAGGAAACAGAATTAATTTTGTTATTGTCCCCGCATTTGATAACAGACTAAGCTATCACTTATTACCCTAGGTTTTAAACATGAAGTGACAATCAAGTTTGAAGAATGCATCCAAGTTTTGCTCTTGTCATTTAAACATTAGGAATTTATATATTCATAGCACAGGTAAGAAAGAGATCTGACAGGATTCCATTTACTTACAGACTGTTCCTGCTTTGGGATGTGACTCAAAAATGAGGACACCTGCTAATTCCCGTTTTACCTTAAAATAGAAAGAGAAATTATAGTTATTATATGTATCTCATTCCTCCTGGTGATGAGGTCACATAACATAGCCCCGTTGTACTTTCCTTCCCTCTGCATCATTGATCAGTTGTTGGTCTGCTTCACTTGATCTCCTAATTCCTATTGATTGGCTTTACAGAGCTACAATTCCTGGCTCCAAATGGCTCAGACAAGGGCATCTTTAAGATATGGGTCTCCACATCTTTCTTTGTACGCACACATGTGAATGACCATCCATGATTAACAAGACAGGAAGTTTCAAATGGTAGTAGTAAATCTGTTACAGAAGATAGCTAGAGATTGTCAATTACTGCAGGGAAATATTCCTGTTCTCTCCTGAGGAATCTGGTTGAGACTGAGGTAAGTCTGTGCTTCTGCTGTGTCAAGCTGTGAGGCACAGCCATCTGGACTTGCTGAGTCCCCTCTCTGCCTGACAGCTCCCCAGGCAAAGCATCCAGCTCAGTACCTCTTCCAGGAACACGACACTGCCCTTGGTGTCAGCCAGCCTCCTGCTGAGGTTGTGTTGCCCTCGGTGTGATCAGCTCTGGCTGACTGGGCACTTGTCTCTGGTGAGACACTGCTTACAACTGCTTTTTGCCACTCTAAACACTGTGTTCTGCCACAAAATAGCAGTAGCACTAGGAATCTTGTATGATCCTGAGTTCTTCTGTGTTTTATGTTTCCCTTCGCTTATTTGGAGCATGTCAGCTGGTGACAAGCCATTTTTCAGAGGTACTACCATGTAACTTAATCATGCTAAATACAGATCAAAAGCTGGCCTCAACATCTATTTACTAGTAGTATTTTCACACCACTGTCTCGCTTGTTTAAATTAAAAAAAAAAATTAGGCCATGAAGAAAGACTTGGAAAGGAACTCTCAAATTCTGGACACAATCCAAATGAGACTCTGATGGCATCTCCTAAGATGGGTGGAAAAATTTGGGCACTGATGTACTTAAAGGCACCCACCCAACCTTGGTGCTCAGGCACCAAGGATAAACATATCACATCAGCCACCTCTCTTAGAACTCCTTCCTGACAATCAGGGGAAAGCACCCCCTTTTTGAAGCCTGGAGAAAAAGAGAGATAAATAGAGGTTTCTTAAAGTACACTGACCAGTAAACAACCTCAGAGGCCTGCAATTTCTGTAACACTTAACTCACCAAACTCCTTTATAACTTCTGCTCAAAGGCAATGATACTTTCATAAGGCCAGAAAGTACAACCCCATTAGCACTGTTCTGCACACAGCAGAGAGCCTTTCTGTCCATTTATGTCCTCAGATGTCTTCTCAGTTGATTCAGTCACTGGTCTTTGCTGTGAATGAATTCACTTGATGAAGCCCAAGATTTGACTTGTTTTTAACACAGTGTTATATAATTCTTCTTCATTTGTACATTAACTTCACAGGCTTCTCTAGCAGGAATTAGTTCACCACCATGAGACTTGAGCTTTATCCATTTTACTTTCTATTGCTTGTGGCATATCAAGAAAACTTATTACTTTAGGAATTATGCCTTGCTTAAATTAAACATTAAATTTCCTTTCAAGTTGATTGGTCATTAATCTTCTAGTTCATAGAAGCAATGCTATCTGTTGTTCCTCTGAAGATTTCCTCTAAGCTAGTCTTAGTTTCTGCCTTCTTCTTTAGTTCATGATGCACGTAATAAGCTGGCATTTCCATATTCTTACTAAAAACATGGAATCATCTGTACTTCAAAATGCCAAGTATTTTTTGCAGTTTGTATCACTTTCCATACTTGCTCCATATGGTACTTGCTGTGGTATTTGACCTCAAGTCTGATTTTCTTCTGAGCTAAAAATAGTTTTTATTTCAAATTTTTTTGTTCTGGGTTATGTATTGAGAATTTTCTTCACTCCATCTCAATATCTGTTTATCCTGGGTAGTTTCTTTTGTTTAACTTTTAAAGGGTCATTTCTGGATCTTACAGTAGTCTTTCTTTAATTACTCTTTTCTGTAAATCCCAGGGATTTTTAAGGCTTTTGGATGTTGAGGAATACATCTAGTGCAGGTACCTTGGTTTGCAAGCTGCAGTTTGTCTGCAGACTGAGCTCTGTGTGGGAGCCCAGAGAGACAAGAGGCCATGGACTGCCAACCCTCTTCCTAGCAAACAGCACAAGTGGCACCAGCCACGGGAAGGCACACTGGGAACACAGCAGGAGCACAGGACACAGGAAGAAGAGTGAGACTTGTGAATGCTTGGATGGTGAGGGGATAAAAGCCCAGGGGTTTCTTTATTGGAGATCCCTCCTCAGAGGCACCAGCTTGAGCTGTTTCTGTGTTACAGCACTGTGAATAAACTGTTTTATGGAGCAAGACATACAAGGCTCTTCTATGGGAAACCTGGGGTGGAAGCAGTGAGGAAACCTGGTCTGCTTGTGTGAGTGGGGGATGTGCAGGAGTCCTGCAGGACCTGCCAGGTCACTGGAGCTGCCCCCTGTGCAGGGCCTCCAGCCCCAGCAGTGACAGCCTCTGGTGCTGGGAGTGTGACTGCCAGAGTCTCACAAATGGTCAAACTGGGAAGTTTCCTTAACACCAATGTAATTCAGATACCAACTCTGAATGCCTACTCTTTTTTGACAAACATAGCTCAGGTTTTTATGTTTGCATGGAGTACTATCTTTCTGTAAGGCAGCTTCATAATTAGCTGCATCTGTCCAAGCTGAGAACAACTGAAAATAAGAGATTCTGAAGAAGGTATTGTGAAATATGGATCTACTTTCCGACTGGTTTCCTTTTTCTGAAAGCATCCACATCTTATTGCTACCAATTAAAGTGCTATTTAGCTTGTTTCAGTTGTCTGCACAGCGTATGATGAGACTTTAAACAGATGCATTCTCTTGTCCATTCCATTTATCCTTGATTCTCTGTGCTGTTCTTGACCACTTCAGGGAGAAAGTGTCTGATGAGATTTTTTTCACTTAATGGCAAACTCCAACCAGCAAGCACTGCACAGCGCATCTTCCTCCACCTAACTGGTATAATTCCTCCTCCTAACTGGTTCAAGCCAAGACTCCCTACAGAAATCAATGCTGCAAAATTCAGTAGTACCAGTGCCTTCATTTACACAAGGACAGGGACCCAGATAGCGGCACCTGTGCCAAGTGAGAGGCTGTGCAGAAATACTTGAAGAGAATTATATCTGATGTCAAATAGACAACCTACACCTGCACAGTGCTTGGGTGATTCTCACAGATGGAATAAATTCTTTGCATGGAAAGTATAAATGAAAATGGTTACAGGCTCTCCAGCTTTAATAAAGCTCTTCTGATTTTAATAAAGTCAGAAGTCAAACCAGAAGTAAAAATTGAGCCTCCCTTTAGGTGATGAGTTACAATTTTTAAAATTACTTACCGTGGTAGAAAGGTGAGATAAGGCCTTAATGTGGAGAAGTTCTTCATATATAAATTCTAAGTCATCTACAGTTCTCTGGCCAGGGCTATAGAGAGAAGATAAAAGGGATAATTAAATGCAATAAATGGTGAAATAAATACTTCACAGAAGGACAGAAAACCACAAAATGCTGCTGAACTGTCTAGTAAAGTGTACATCCTCACCAAACAGGGACTGAATGATGTTTCTGGCTGGAGGACTGAAACACACAAAGGATGGAAGCTCTGTGAATGCTACCTGAATGACACTGAGCAGCAGCCATGGCAACCACCTTAGAGAGATCCTGATGAAGCAGCTTTTCTGATAAATCAAGTGTTCTATATATGTATAAAATGGTCACATAAATCAGAAATGGTACATAAAGATTTGTTCCTTTCAAACGGACTCCTGAGCGTGGGGCATGCACTATTTTTCACAAGCATTACTAATTAGCTGTAGCAAACACAGTTGCAGTGTTTGTAAAGGAGGTGTGAACTTCTGCTGAACAAACTGGAGATGCAGCAGTGCATCCTGGAGAACAGCTAACGACTGCTCTACAGTTAATGCTGAGTGCTGCTGTTTAGCCACAAAGGTAAATAAGAACCACTCAGCAGTTTCAGCTTCTCTCACTGAAAAATACAAGAAGCTTGTGCTAGAGAAGAATTATTCCTTCATCAATGCATTGATGAAGGAATAATTCTTCTCTAGCACAAGGAGTAGTAAGGAGGCTGGCACTGTGGCTGAAATAATTGCATTACTGTAACCTACCCAAAATTTTCTGATTGCTAAAGAAGGGCACAAATACTGTGGGGACTGCACTGTGCCAGAGATGCTTTGGAGGATCTAATAAACAGCACACAGGAGGAGTTGTGGGAGCTTGACAGTAACTCCCAATCTTTTTCTCACTCACAAGATTCTCTTCAGTTACAATATCTAATACAATATTATTTTCTAAAAGAACAATTTCTCCTGTCATATAATTTCAGACAGCACACTGGAGTGACATGCAGACACACAGGAAGAAAAATACCTTTAAAGCGTTATTTCAAGCTATTTTTGTAGGACTAAGTCCTTCCAAACAATATCGTTTAGATTTGTGAAAAGCAGATTGCAAGTAATTAATTCAATGAGCCAAGAACAAAAGAAAAGAGCAACAAAGACATAAGGGAGAGGATGAAAATGGGATTCAAGAGGAAATGGGATACAAGAAGTCCAGTCTGAGGGCAGGAGTTCCAAATGAGAAGGTTTACATGCTCCACCATCACAACAAGCACAGTTCTAAATCCTGCTGTCTGCAATGTCTGGTGTCAAAAGAATTAACAGCACAATTGAATCTTTGGACAGCTCTAAAAGAAAAACTACAATGATACAAGTTTTCCTCCTAAAATGTCAGCATTACAGGAGACTAGCACCTAGAGGATCAGGAGAGCCCTATGAAGAAATACTGTGCTCTACAGATTTTCTGCCTAGTCACCTCCTGATTCAACAGTCTGTCTACATCTCGTGTGAGACACAGGGAGTAGCCAGCTCTGTTACTCTGGAATTATACTGTATCTTTTTACAAAAGTAGCTGGATGGAGACTTCTTTTGGATGAAAGAAGTACTGAAGAAGTCACAGAAAATATAAGGAGAACTGACATCTCTGCTAAGCAAGCTTTATTTTTCTTCTGTTCTTCACTTACCAATGACATGCATTCATTATTACCCAAATTAAAGATAAATTTAGACTACAAATAATTTTGGATTAAATTACTCTTTTCTCATACAGAATCAAACTATTAAGGGAAAACCAGAAATTGGTTTGGTACTGCTATGCCCTCTAGTGACTCAAAATACTCCAGTTTCTGAATCTGGCTTGAAATTTCAAGGCTGACCCTCCTAGTGATTTATGCAGGCCAGCTTAATTAAGTACAGCATAAAACGAAGCCAGTACAAGCTAACAAACAAAAAGTAAGGATTTTAACAAATAATAGGGAAGTAGCAACCTTAATTTTATTACATGCTTGCAAAAGGAGTATGTCTTGGAGAATATAGTGTAACAAGTTAAGAAATTTCTACATTAAATCAAAAGATAAAAGGATGACGTGTTACTATATGAGATCTCTATCATAAAGACAAAAGGACACACTCTTCTTTCAGCATGTCCATTTGCTTCCCATGCTAGCACATTGGAAGAACTGACAATCTGTAGCAGATATCTGTACCTAGTCTTTACTTCTGTTCTTGCAGATGTCACGTGGAGAGATATTAGGCATCACTGTATCTTTAAAACCTGTGTGGCGACCCACTGATGTTGATTTGTAGGATCCTGCTGTGTAAAGACCTAGTTTCTGCAGGGGACACATTCTAACAGCAATAGCTGGTTATAGAGCGGATAATAAGTGGAATAGGTAGGGAACGAGGGTACACATTAATGGACAGAACTCAGGTGATATTAAGTGATCAATAAAAACTGTTCAGTGCTTGGAGAATTTACCAAGGTCAGAGACATCGAGCTTCTCTGTGACTAGGATGTTGACAATAACACAGTACTTTACCATTGATAAGCCATGTATGTCAAAGCAGTATCATTGATTATCTTTATTGTACAGCTAACCAGAAAATTCTCAGATAATAAGAACAAGGGAAAAGATCAGAGACCCCATAACATTGTGATTAAGTGTCAAATGTTCTCTATGAAGAAAAAATGTGCTAAGTGAAGCCACTAAGAACATATAACACAGATTTATTATTTCAGTCACACTGCTAACTTACTTTAGGCTAGGGCATTAAAAAGAGAATGTAATCCATAACATTATCTGAGCTGAATACTATTGTTGGAGGATTACAAGTCTTCCTTTAAAGACTCCTGTTATTATTGTGTTTAGCTTTGCATTATAGCATCCTATTAAATTAGGGTTTACCATCAGGACATATTTTCATACTGAAGGGGGGGGAAACACTTAGGGAGGAGCTGTATTAATTCTACAGTAATTTTTAGAGGAACTTTAGCAAGGTCTGCACCTGTGCTACAGCCATTATAAGGAGCAGAGAGCTGTGTTTGCTACTCCACAAAAAGCTACTTTCACATTCAGTATATGTGTTTCCAAAGGAAAAAAAAAAACAATAGCAACAAGAGCCTGCCAAAAATTTCCCTGAGCTCTATTCTGTTTTTTAAACTATAGAACATTCTTTCACAGTTTGACAGTTAAAATGCTGCAGTTAATGTAATAAACAGAGACTTTTTTAAGTTGGCTGTCAAAACAAGTGACACTTTTTGTTAGAGATTTTCAGATTTTGAACAATAGAAAGTACCTTTCAAAGCAACAGCTTCATTATACAATCAAATTCTCAAAGTAATCTTCTCATCAAAGAATATTGTCTTATTTCTTTCAGGGTAATTATCTGAGTTCTGCAACCTCTCTGGAAATGGTTACTGTTATAAAGTGCAGCTGTGTTGGTTTGAAAATTGTGGGTCCTGCTCAGGTCAGCTAGAGTCAGCATCTCTGAAGCCTTGACAATTCCTTTGAACTTTTGGCAGCTGTAACAGTGTCTAGTCAAAACTAGCAGGACTCTGAGGATTCATGGAGATTTTAACAGCTTTGCTACAGCTCAGTCCAGGGAGGATTTTCAACTAACAAAATCATTACGTATGTAAACTGAATACTAGAACAGTAGTTAATACGGTCCCTGGCAGTACAAGGTTACTTCAGTGAGCAAAGGGCAGCAAAAATTATCCACTTTCAGGGACAGGGAAACATGTCAGATGATGATATCAGTCTTATCAGTCTTTAGAAGACCTCTTTCTCCTCACTATATTCCATAAAAAATCTCATATTAGTATTCTTTCAGGTGATGCTGTGCAAGTGTCAATACAGAGAGAAGAGCAGTACTTTCCACAGCATCCTTCCAGCCTTTCAGCACTCTGTAAGCAGTCCAGATGATAACCAAAAGGGAAATTCGTAGAGACAACCTGCTCAGTTAGCCTGAGGCAAAGGACAGAGTGCAGAGAAGCAGGGTCCCAGCACACACCTTTGTTCAGACTCCAATGACTGGTGTCTGCTCAGAGGTGCAAAAGTTCACATTTTCTGCTCAGTGGAAAGGGCACAGGACATGTCTGCGAGGGTACAAGATCTCAATTCCATGACTCCCTAAGGATGTATGCAAACACTCTGCTCTCACTCTGGCTTGTCCATGTCTTTTGTGTGACAGGGAGCAAGTGCTCTTTTAGTTGCACTGACTAGATCTCTAATAAAGAGAAAAAATAAAATGTATACTTCAAACCTATTGCTGCATGACAGGGTTTCCTGTTTATATAAGCACAAGGGTTTGATGGCACTTTTTGAAATTCAATGCTTTTAGCAAGTTTTTGGAAAAGTGCTGTTGAAATGAACTTGTGATCTAAACAGGAATGGAGCCTGGAAAGGATACAGATGGAAACAGAACTGCAACAAGCACTTGGTTAGGTGATTCAAAAATCTTTTACTCTGAAAAGTGTTCTCACACTGTAAGCGGGGCCCACTCCTCTCCCATATAGCAAAGACAAACTTTGCCAATAGCCTCAAGGTAGCAGGATCCAGCCCTGAGTACCTGCCTGTCTTGAATGGCCCCAAAAAATCTTCAGTGAAGGTGAGTTTAAGTTATTCCTCATTCTCAGTGTGTTTAATTAGCAGCAGAATATGTCTGCCATGGCCACTAAACCCTACCTGCTTAATGCTTGCCTTCGAAGGAGGGTCAAACAGAGTTTATACTGGCTTTGAAGTCCCTATAAAGCTGTCTGAAAAAAAGGCTGATAATCAATGTAGGTTTCTCGTTTCCATGTCACAAGGAAGACCCATAATATTAACTCATTATTCAGCTTACGGTTTCCTGAGAATCATCCTCATGTGAGCATCTGGCCCAATCTGAGACAGAAGCAGCATAGTATCCTGTAGCTCTTCATCACACTCCTTTTTCTCCTCCTCAGTTGGCAAAGGGGCATCTTCACGCTCATCATCCAAAAACCGATAAAATAAGTATTTGTCCTGAAAGTGGTGTTCCTGGTCCACTGAAAACAACACAGCACATTAAATACTGAATGCTCCTCAATGAAGCAAAGCTTGTTTGCTGTGTAGTATCATGTTTGTTACAGATAGATTATTTAAGAAGAGAAAGAAAGCTACAGAAAAACTGTAAGAGCATGAAACTATTTCTCATGTATGCAGCTTGAAGGGTACACTTTTAAATTGTGTCCTACAAATACTATGCAAAAGGCTTCCATATAAGTGTGTTGTGGGTGTGTATAAATTCATGCATACACATGTATATGTTTTTTTATTAGTTCTGTTTTCTTATTGTTTGAAACTATTTCATTTAATCAAACAAATTACACTGGGGAAAATGGTTATATTATGAATTTCTAAAAGGTATTTTCTAGCACAAACACTTTGCTCTACGTATTTAGACAGGCTGAAAAAAGGTAGCAAAAGCAACTAAACTCCTTGTGATGTAGCAGAAATGTGTATTATCGAGGTACAATCCCAGGGGCAAGTCCATCGACCTGTGTCCTGGTGGAATAACTCAATGGATGAACTGCCAAGAGAAGACCTCTAAAGTAACATTATGCTATTGCAAACCCCTGGTCTTCCAAAGTAAGTCAGAGTGATGTGTTGAGTTGGATACTGTGATGAAGCTTGCACTTGCTTTCCCCGGAGAGTTCAAGGGAATATATGGCAGGAATTCAAGTTAGAGCCCTTAGGGTAAGGCAGCAGTGGAAACAATCTGCCTTCTCTCTGACAGAAATGGCATTTTCTCCCTGGGATATGGGAACCACAACAGATGATAAATGCAAGTTTACTGTAATAGAGCTACTCTTCTACATTTAATAAAAATTTATACGCAAAGATTCAAATACAAATATTGCTTTAGAAACCTACCCTTTTTGAGAGCTGTAATATCCTGTTACCCACTAAACCCTGCCAAATGGAAACTGAAAGGCAATGTAAAATGCAATCAGAAAACTAACATAAAATCACAGATTTCTGCACTGGAATATCTGGTGTGCTGAATTTGGAAACCCCTCCAAAACCAATGCAAATCATTCCAAAATTATGAATCTGAGCAAACACAAACACTCACATTCACTTCAAAATACTGCAAATCTTTGATGAAGGTTAGTTTTATGTATGGTAATACATCTCTTGGTTTTGGCCTGAGTGCTACCCAGTTCTAAAAATATAAGCACAAGCCAGTGTACTCCTAAGTATAATTAGACTACCATTATCACTTGTTCATTTATGATGCAATATGGTCGTAAGTTAAAAAGCATACTGGCAAGATTCAAATAATACTGCCTGTGTGTTGCACTTGCACTTATGAATGAACAGGCTGCTCTGTGGCATTTATTTTAGGCTCATGATCCCTTTCTTTTTCATGAAAAAGAATACAGAGGTGTTGATGTCACACACTGCCCATATTTTATTCAAGATAGTGATTTTCTTTATCTTACCATGGTTAAGAACACCTTCTTCCAGCAGTACTTGCCACATGCCAACAGCCTGGGTTCGTAAATGGACACAAGGACTTTGTTGCATCATCCAGTCAACTAGCTCTGTCCCCACACAGCATTGCCTGAAGGACAGATAAACAGACGGGAATGAAAAGGAAGCCTGCCAGGAGAGAGACTGCACACAGTGACTGCCAACAACAGTGATATCTTAAACTCTGTACACATTTAAATCTCCCTGAAGAAAACCCCACGTCACCATGTATATACACACGCTTGAAACACCAGTGAAGATGTCCAGTTTTAAGAAGATCACCTTAGCAAAGAAGTGTTTTGGGAAATGCAGAATTCAGAGGATCTATTTGAGCCTGTGACACCTGGTACAAAACCTACAGCACCAGTGCAACAACCTCCAACCCAGTATTCAAAAGAAACCTCTGTATACCATGGGATACCAAAAGCCTGATGCTTCTCAGAATCTTGCATGCAAACAGAAATTTAATACTGTAAAAGTTTTGCCAATGCAGCCTCCACAGGAAGAGTGAGTGCTATGAGGGCGTTCCTGCATTTGTAATCAAATTTCTGTCACACTGTATTTGGAGACACTGGTTTTGGTACAGTGTTCTGAGGCTCTCTCATGTGAGGTCTTGGTAACCTTGCACCTCCTGACTGACCCAGAGGCAGAGAGCAGGTCTCAAGTTCTGGAGAACAGCCAGTGTTTGACCAGCACTGCTCTTCATTTATCATATATGCTCTTCTGTTATTCTAGACCAATCAGCAATGTCATATTGAGACATATTCTTGAATCAACTCACAAGTGCCAAATACCTTTGTATTTTAAATATATTTTGGACTGAAATATGAAAAATCAATGTATTTATTTCAAATGAAGATCAGCAACATATTGATTTACTATTTAGAAAAAGACACAGAGATTTTAAAATAATTTTTACTTAAAACCACTCTTAATAATGAACTAGGTGTTTGATTTAAACATTAGACTCTAAAACAAACAGATTATTTCTTAAGCCAATAGTAGGCAGATCCTGACACCTTGCAGGCAGATTTCTTTCTACAAGTGCTATTGTTATCCCACTTCAGCAAGACTGTGCTGCCACCAGCAGGAAGACAAGAGAGTCACAAAACACTGGAAAAAAATTAAACAGAACAGCAAATCTGCATCAGGAATGTTTCTCACCAGGTGAATTTTCAGAACACCACAGTCAGCACACTGCTGTAGCAATCAGTACAGGAACATAATATATTAATAAAGTTTTCTATTATCTCTTACTGATATACAAAGAGAACAGACTCTTCATTTTAACTTGGTACTGCACATAATATTCCAGCTAACTATGCTATTAACTATGCTTTGGAAGAGTGCTTGTATGTGAACGCTCTGTTCACAATCACAGACTCAATTTCCAGTCAAATTACTTCAGAAAGGATTTACCAGGCCCATTAAAGACTGCATAACATCCAACTCAAATAGCATCACAGAATAATTTCAGACCTTTTGAGACCTGCAAGTATGGTAAGGCATACATGACAATACAGAGAATGGCAGGCATAAAAATTCAGAGACCTCCATACAATCAGCTCACACACCTGTAAGTCTTCAGATGGTATTTACGATCTCGTATCATGTGAGGAGCTCGGGACAGAATTGTATTTCGCAAAATCTTTCCAGCTCTAAGGATCTTTTCTGAAGGAACCTTGGTGATCATGGAAAAAAATAAAGACCAAGAAACGCAATTTTAAACTTTCTGGAATCTCTGTACTGCTTTCTGCAAAACAAAACACAAATGCTCTCCTTCCTGAATTAAAAATCCTCTTGCACAGAAGCTTACTTTTTAGAGCAATGTAGTATATATTTGGGATTTTAAATTTCACATACTTCTCAGATCTAACAGAAAGCATCACTTCAGCTGATTCATATTACACTGTTGTAAATAGTTATTTCTATTTGTCTAATGGCCTGGCTCTACAGGACACCTGCGTTCTATTACCTGTGTAATGGTTTTAGTAGGATGATGTGGGATGTGAGGATCAATAAGAGGTGTCTGAAAAATAAAATGAAATTAAATAATTTTTTTTAAGGTTGACCAGAAAAATAAAGACTAAAGTAAAAAAATTAACAAAAAAGCTGTAATAACAAAGAATAATGTGGAACTCCAAGCTCTGCCCAGGACGTAGGAATATATAAAAAACTTCTGAACACATCCTCCTAAAGGCAAACTTGGTTGTTGAGGCTCAGCAAATTAAAACAGTGACATGACATGTGAAGATGAATAACAAATCTGTGCTAAACTTTGTCAAGTACTAATGAAATGGGCAATGGCTGAACGTCACACCAGATCTGAGCACACACAGGCACAGTTACCTCTTTGCCCCGTACAACAGCGCTCTCCCACAAGCATCTGCTCTGCCATTCACCCTCCCACCACAGATATTCTCTCCTTCTTCAGCACCTTTTTCTATTCAGCTCTTTTCTCCCTTACAGCACAGCACAAGAAACAGGAATGGAGATAGAGATCTTCTTCCTCTATGTTTTCTAAATTATCACCAGGCTGAGCTGGCAACCCTTTTATAGCTGCTCTCTGAAATGCAGAGGCAGGCAGGCCACTCGCAGGGACCCAGGCAAGGACTGGGGCTGGCGACGAAAAAAGGAAAGAACAAAGCAAGTGGCTTGGTTCTACAAAGGGAGGAGTGAAAGGAAAGACCATCGTGGCTCTACAGGGGAGAAGGGGATGAGAGAAATGGGAAAACAGGCACATAGCAAACAGGTGAAAGAGGGAGACAGGGAGAACACGGCACAACACAGAGGGAAAAGGAAAGCGGAAGGTTAAAGGACAGTAGAAACGGAGACAAAGGCGAGCAAGAGCGAACTTCAGCAGGCACGTGAGGATGATGGGCAGACCTTTGGCTTGTAGGGCCCGGTAGTTACAGCACGGACCAAACTCACTTTGAGTGTGCGATGTCAGGACACAGCACAAGGGCTGGCTTTGGCCGGTGCTCAGGGCTGGCTGACAGCCATCAGGCTGAGCAGAGCCCTCCCTCAAGGGCAAGACTCAGCACCTCGGCCCACAGCAGCCACGGTGCCCTCGCAGCCCCACGGCAAAGCCAAGGCAGCCAGGGCAGGATCAGTCAAACACACACCAGGCACTTCTGGCCTGAGGAACTGGTTTCCTTACACTGGGCATCTGACCATTAGCTCCCATGGGATTTTAATGATGTGACACAGTCCTTGTACTTATCAAACAGGGCTAAGAGCTAAAAATGCAGCAGGAAACTATGGTGGGAAGGGGAAAAGCATATGACAGAAATCAATAATCTTAACATAGAGGCCTGTAAATGGAAACCAATACAAAGTTGTTTCTATTCATACCTTACAAGAAATCTCTGAAAAGGCATATCAATACAATTAAAAAGGGATTCCTGATTTTCCTCATTTATTAAGTCAACAATTTTTTATAAACTCATTTAAGCTCCAAACATTTCTGTCCAGCCAGAAGAGCAGTAGCACATCCCTCAATATTTCTTGGTTTCTGGAACTGTGTGGAATCTGCTCTAGATAGTCTATATTTGCAGTTAACATAGGCAAAGAATAGCAAAATCTTTTCAAAGATGCCTCTAATGAAAACAAAACCATAGAATAACACTCTCAAACAGGTACAATATCTTCAGTCTAGCCTCCAGATTGTAATTCTAGTTAGGAATATACTCAGAGAGATAAAATATATAAGACAAAAAATATAGGAGATTTTTAGAGCAACAGACTAGCAAAAACAATTGCACACCATGGATGAAGATTTTTTAATAAATCTCCCAACCTAATCAAAACAGAATATAAGACAGCATTTGGAAGGAATCTGATTCAACCCAAAAAGGTGAAAGCTAAGACACAGCACAAGAATCTCCAGAAAGCAGCAGGAAGGCTTATTCACCTACATCCTGACCAATACAGAGGATCAGCTGCAAAGATTGAACATAACTTGGGTGAAGGTGATCATGAAATGATCCAGTGTCAGAACTTGACAGAAGGAAGAAAGAGCATCAAAGCAGACACAATGCACTCGGAAGAAAAGTTTCCATAAAAACAGAATACTGATAGCTATATTCCTGCAGTGGGTCATGGGGGAACAAGTGTGAGGTAAAAGGAATTAATGGGAGCTGGCAGTCACTTAAAGAAACCATATTAATCATACATACAATGCGTACTAGAACTTAACTAGAAGGTGAAGTAAAGACTTAGCTAAAGAAAGAGCTCTTCACTCACACACAAGAAAGAAATACACAGAAAGGAGAAAGTAGGGGGTCTAAAGCAAGTATAAATTGAATAACAAAAGACAGAATTAAAAAAGCAAAGGTATTAAATGAAACAGACCTGCCAAGAAATGTCAGGAGGTACAAAAATATTCCACAAGTGCATTAGTAGTAAAACAAAGAAAATAAAGAGTGTTGAGCTACTGTTTAACAGAGGGAAATCTATTTACAGGTGGTTCAGGAAGGCCAGAAACTTTTGATTTATTTTTAATCAACGTTCATTAGAAAGATCAGTGGCAGAGAGATGGTTAATATCCTGAGTAGTAGAGTGACAGGAGTAAAATCTCAACCTTGAATAAAACCCCAAGAACATAAATTAGTTGTTTTCAGATTGGCTTTGCAGAATTTCATGCAGGAAACTTGAAGAGCACGAAGAAACTTAAAGAGGGTTGCAACCATCTCGGAACCATCAGCAGCCACTCTTGGGGTCTAAGGAAGGCAGCTGAAGACAGAAATATGGAAAAGGAGAAGCTGAAAAAATACAGATATCAGCTTAAAGTCTTCCTAGAAAAAGTCAATTTGTAAGCATCTGGAAAAGAACAGGGAGATGAGTCACATGTGACGTATATTAACCAAGAACAGATCATGCCACACTGATCTAATTTCTTTCCATTATTGAGTAGCAACATTGATAGATTAGACAAGAAGCAGTAGATTTTCAACCCTTTAGTAAGGATTAGCACTTTCTCATCAGATATTCTGTTCTGCAACAGTCAGATTAAATTCTTAAAAAACAGGTGCAAAGTCAGTTGGAAAAGTGCATTTTGAAATCAATTACCAGTGAAGCAAAGTCAAACTGGCAGTCATACCAGAGGTCTGTTCAAAGCAGCGTTCAAGAATATATCACATCTGATAACATTAAATATTAACATGGGATGAAGCAGAATACACCTTTATTGAGTCTGCAGGAAACTTCAGGATGGGAGGCATTGCACATACATTGCAGAATATGTTTACAATATGAAACAGTTGCAGAATTTGTCTAAAAATGATGCTTTTATGTACAGAGTGATGACTACATTTCTGAAGCAGGTGGAATCAGCTAAATAAAGACAGGGTATGGAACAAGTGTCTTAGTGCAGTACCACAGAAAAGGAAAAAAGGTTTACAATGTTTTAAATATTTAAATATTAAACACAACTGATTAACCAATGCCATACTTGCATAAAAGCAGCAAATACTGTGGTGGAATGTAGTAATATATTAGATACATAATGGTGTTCTGCTTTAGTCAGCCCAGGTAAGAAAAGCACTGTGGTCTCATTTGCCCATTTTACTCCAAAAGCATCTAAACCAGCTGGAAAGAATTTAGAGGAAAGCAACAAAAACAATCAGAAAGCACAACATAAATAATCAAAGCTCTTAAGCTAAGGAAAAGGCAAATCTTAGCAGAGGTGTGATTAAAAAAGTCTTCTGATTTAAAAGGCCTTTGAAAATTAGAAAGAAGTGGCCTAGTCCATCATGCAGAGATCAGGGAATAATTTAAATTGCTCTAAGAAAGATTCAGTTTAGGCATCGCTGAAGCTTTCCTCGCAGTGTGGACAGTGAGTTGCCAGAGAAATCTGGTTCCTCAAGGATACACAAGGAATCTGTTAGGAGTGACACTGCTATAGTGCGCATGTGGCTTGGGGATGGACTCAATGCTTCCTGAAGTAGTTTTAGCCTCACTACATGATACTGTGCAATTTGTGAGGATAGAGGTGATCAGTGACAGAGCTCCCGGGGCAGTGAGCCTGGACAATCGTTGCTCCCGAGGGACAATGACATCCGAAAGACATGTCCAGCAAAGAGCCCCCAAAGCCAGAGCCTTTCAAAACTGCTGTAGTGAGCTCTGGCTGCACTAGTGATTAGTTGAAATGCAATAAAATGGAAACACAGGGCTTGGACTGAGTTTGCTACAGAAAGGCAAGACATATTTCAAAGGCAGAGCAATGTAACATCAGTTAGTTATTAGGAGATAACAGGGTTCCAGCAACAACTTCCCATCAGAAAAAAATGCATTCTGTAAGGGACAGACATAGATTGCCTAAAGACCAAGACTGTTTGGTGAATCTTTACAATCCTCGACCTTTCATTAAGGATTGCTTGGAAAGCACTTAAAAAAAATAAAAAAAAAGGAACTGTCCCTTTAAAACAGCAGAGTGTGAGGAGAGTGTTTAATTGACTTCTTAACACATCCTGGTGTCTTTGAAGAATTAATGAGACTAAAGTACATACATGTGGAACAGAGGTCCTTGATGATCCAATTTTTCAGAACTTCTGAATAAGGGAAAATTTATCAGGCAAAGAGCTCAGATAAGCAATCCAATTACAATAGTTTACAACCTATTATTCACCTCCTGGCCACAGGAGTGACCAGTGTAACTGCTCTTAGCTTTCCTTCAGTGTGAGATAAAGCAACACAGCAACACCACACGCAGTTTGCTATGACCTGCTGATCTTCCCTGTAGGGCAGGAGGTCATATGGGTGTAGAGGGTGGAGAAGGGAAAGCCTCTGGTGTTGGTAGGGGAAAGCAGAAAATTATTATGAGAAACTGTGGTAAAAAGGCTTTCAGCATTAACATTGAAAAACTCCTTATCTGTACATTTATGGATTCACATTTGAGCCATTCAAACAAACCCTTCACAAAGCCAGTCACAAAACTCGCTATTTAAATTGGGGTAAAGCAGAGAAAGCAATAATTTTAGCCTCCATTCCTTTCAAGATTCAAATATTTATGCATGAGAGCAATATCAC